AAGCAGCTAACTTCACAGATGCTACTTACAGACGGCAGCGCGGCTGGTGGCTGAAAAATGAACTATAAATTCTACAAATTTTCAGGGACAGGCGGGCTAATGCTTTAGCACGCAGCGATCGTTCTCCTCCTCTCTAACCTCCATGCTTTAAAACATTGCTTACCTTCATCCTGAGCATGACCCGTTTCTCCGGCCTGACCGCCTTCGGCACCGGTACCGGAACCGGTACTGGCACTGGTACCGGTAACGGGGCCGGTACGCGTCTCGGCGTAGGTGCAGGTAGTGAAGACGCTATACTGGCCGTTGTTACGCCAGACTTGTGCGTTAACGGCGGAGGCTCAGACGGAGGTGACGTGGATTTGCGACAGTTCTGGGTAAATAATAATTAATTGTTAAAAAAAATCCAACACACACCAATTAGGCTGGCCCTAAAGTAAGCACTGTAAGGCTTGTGTTATGGGATACTAGGGTAACGGATAAAATACATATACTGTACATATATAAGTATATTTATATATAAATACATATTAAAAATCAATGACTGGAGTACAAATGCTCGTATTCATCACACAAACATCTGCCCCCACCGGGATTCAAACCCAGGACCTCTCGAGTCGGGGACACCATGAAACCCGGCGTATAAACCACTCGGCCACGGAGGTCGTCGAATAGATAATATTTATTAGTTTACTCAGACGATACGGTATCGCGTCTATCGACTAAGGTTCTTTGTAAGATCCATAGACTTAGTATTGACAGACTGACAGATTGGTAAAAGAAATATCATGCCCTTACGACAATCCTACAAGATATAAGACACGCAACATGATGTACCTTTGGTCCAATAATATATTTTCAGCAAGAGCCAACAGCGTCCTGTGTTTTGCCAAAAGGCAAAAAGTCCGGACAAATCCGTACGGATGGTAACCCTACACGCGAGTCTCACTGTTCTTGTGATCGATCAGAACACCTAAAAGAGACTACAAATATATCAATACTAGCAAATCAGTGAACCAAATGTTCACCAAAACCTGATTTAAAAAAAAAATGTATTTAATTAATTGAGAACTTCGGAGATTTTGTGTGGTTTCGTTTGAAATTCGTGATTTGTGGAAAACCGGAAGTGCTACGTTACTCAAATCCGGTTTGTAGTCTTATCAGACTATTCTTAACTTATAACTTAAATATTCTCTTTATCTATCTCTTACGGTTTGGCCGCTGAAACAGCACCACAGACGGACGGACGGACTTGTCTAATAGATAAGAGTTTCTCAGTTACACACCTTACAGTAGAACGGCAGCGTGGTCTCGCCCAGATAGTATCCCACGCACGTGGGGTGGTACAGACACAGGCAGGCGGCGCACGCGAGCGAGGGCACGCCGCGCCCGCACGTCAACGAGCACGGCTGCACAACCTGCCTTGCGGGTGTACATCGCTCCTGGTATAAACATAAAGTATAAAAAAAACACTTATTAAAAAAGCTTATTACAAAGTGTCTGATTATATTACAGACAAAAATGCTTGGGTTTAAACTGTTCCAATCATTCCAACAGGTTTTCTATATTAAATAAATCATAATTGTATTGACGTTGTAACAACATAATGATTTGTAAATGTTATTACATTAGACTTTTAATGTTGTGGAGTTTTTTTCGCTTGTTTTTCTCCGCAGCTAAAAAATATGTCCATAACGAGTGGCAGGGAAAAAAATTTTTGGACGATTCAAAAGAGTTGTACTATACATCCAATTTGAATAAAGATTATATTGATTTCTGATTTCTGATTGATATAAAGTAGTCGGGGACTTTTTGGCGGGATCGGGAAGCGTCACTTAAGCAGTTTCGTTTTTCTTGTTAAAAATTGTGTTGTGGCGGATGTTAGTGTCTAATAACGGTGGATTATTAACCACTAAGTGTTCGGGAACATGCACAAGTGCTGGCAAGTGAAACAATAGCGGAAAGTGTCTTTCGATGTTCCCTCAAGAAATCCACGGGGAGGTTCCAGTAAATCCCCACACATTTACTGAAACATAGGGAAAGGGGGATTGACTGGACTGCCACTTACTTTGACTTGATTCATTACTTTGACCACGAGTGCTATAAAATTTGTAATCATTTTAACACTTGACATTGGCTAAATGCACAAGCTGTGCGAAGCCATTTAGAAAAAAAAATAAAAAAAATGGTCAGAAGGAAGGAAGGAAGGGAAGGATCTCGATGGCGCAGGTGGCAAACACATTCAGCTGCGATCGTTGAAGTTAAGCAACTTTCGCAATGGTCGGTCATTAGATGGGTGACCAAAAATCTTCTATCTCGAGTTCCTCGGTGCTTCGGAAGGCACGTTAAGCCGTTGGTCCCGGCTGCATCTGCAGTCGTTAGCACCCGCCAATCCGCACTGGGCCCGCGTGGTGTGTCATGACCCAATCTCCATATTCCATCGCATAGGGAAGGCCTGTGCCCCAGCAGTGGGGACATTAATAAGCTGATGATAATGATAATGGTGAGTCAGAAGGACGGTCACCGCCTTAGTACAAGAACTAAAGCATAAAAGTAATGCTGTGACGTTTGAGCGAACACCCCTATAGACAATGAAAAGATTTCCATACAAAGTATTACCCAACCAAAAAGTATTGTGTGTAAAGGTTGCATTTGACATTAGATCGCTTTTTGATTCAGTATCGTAAAGGTAACCAAGGTATCCATTTTGACATTTGTAAAGCGGTACGCACGCTGTTGATAGCCACATATATTTGTCCCTTTCTTTGTCCATATGTAAAAATAAGATAACTATATGAGCCCACTTTACGAGATGAATTTTATACTCCTAATAGTTCTCGTTCTGAGGCTACCGCTATCTGCGAAAATTATGAGCTAAACTATTTGCTATTGATTTTGATAACACGTGTAGTCGTGAATAAATTGCTAAAACACAAAACCAATACGTACGTCAAGGTGTGAGTGTATGGATGGAATACTAAGAAGGGTTAGAAACCCAATATGAAGACCTGAAGTGGGTTCCAAAATAACTATAGATGTTCCGTTGTCACTTAATCGTGGTTACTTATTTATTATTTTAAATGTGGGTAGGTTCGCAACGAGAACGATGCATCTGCGAATGTGGTTTTTTACTAGCCTAACGCAGACAGTTAGCCACTGATCACACGAGAGGACCTACGTCACTCCGTTCCGCGCCCGCGCACTCGCTAACATCGTATAACCCTAATCTTTACGTGCGGTATACCAAACAAGTGGAATTCGTCAACAATAAACTGTGAATTTCTTCTATGACTGTGTGTGCTGTTCATGTGCCCCTCTAGCTAGAAGAATACGCGGACCACAAGCTTCCGACAAAGGTTTCAAACGTGAGTACGTTACGCTATTAGAAAACCCATTCGTAATTGTGTATTTATCGTTATCTCGTTGCAGCCCCTTCAATTTTTTTAATTACTTATATCGGCTGCCCCCAAAATGTATTTGCAATAACAATACAATAGATGTATCCGGGAGATTTAGTTTAAAAGATCTTAGCGCACTGACAGCGAGAGTGAAGCTGTTTTATACAACGTAATTGTAATAATAATAAAGAAAGAGCTATCTATCATTTGAAAAAAGTCATATCCTGTGTTAAATGGTTTACTTATAAAGACCTCAGAACTAGAACTAGGTTCTAGTATTTAAGGTAATTTAACTAAGGTTAAGGGTTGTATGTATTTTTGTATGATGTATCATAAAAATATAAAATGAAAAATTTTGTCCAAAAAAAATTTTAAGAGTGAACCACCCTTAACATTTAGGCGGATGAAAAATAGATGTTGTCCGATTCTCAGACCTACTGAATATGCATATAAAATTTGAAGAAAATCGGTCGAGCCGTTACGGAGGAGTTTAACCACAAACACCGCGGCACGAGAATTTTATATATTAGATGTTACTAGCAAACCAGTGAACCAAATGTTCACCAAAACCTGATTTCTCGAAAACCGGAAGTGCTACGTTACTCAAATCCGGTTTGTAGTCTTATCAGACTATTCTTAACTTATAACTTAAATATTCTCTTTATCTATCTCTTACGGTTTGGCCGCTGAAACAGCACCACAGACAGACGGACGGACTTGTCTATTAGATAAGAGATATGGCTGCATTTCTGTCATTCTAACTTAGTTCACTGACCTCTGGCGAAGTGATTTGCGGCGGGCGGCTCTGCAGCGGCGGCGGCGGCGGCGTCGACGCGGTGACTGTTGCGACCGCCGCTGTATACGCCGTCGTCGCAGCGGTTGTGGCCACGGATGCGGCCGCGGTTGCCGCGCCGGATGCGGTCGCGGTTGCGGCACCGGCGGGCGGCCTGGCCGCAACGCAACTACACTCGCGCGGTGCTCAGTACCCGCGTAAGGCGGTTAATTGCGCACATTGTCAATTAACCGCCTCACAATAACAATGTTGGCAAAACGACACGCTTGATTTTACAGTAGATACAAAGTTTACAGTACTACAAATTAAACTTGGAAAATTCTTCAGTTGTGGAGTTTGTTTTGTCGCTAGTAATAGAATGTTTTGTTCGGTACCCGCGTAAGGGGATTAATATTGGCAAAACAACACGCTTGATTTTGCAGTAGATACAAAGTTTACAGTGCTACAAATTAAACTTGGAAAATTCTTCAGTTGTGGAGTTTCTTTTGTCGCTAGTAATAGAATGTTTTGTTCGGTACCCGCGTAAGGTGATTAATTGTCGTTGCGCACGTTCGTCAATTAACCGCCTCACAAGACAATATTGTAAAAACGACACGCTTGATTTACAGTAGATACAGAGTATAACGGTCTTACTACAAAAAAGCTAGACACGGTTTCAAACCTCGTTTAGGCAAATTTAGTATGATATTTTTTCTTAAATAAGTGTTGAAAGTATGTCCACCTTTTTTGTTAACAGTGCTAAATATTAGGATTCGTAAATTCTTCAGTTGTAATAAACAAAGTTAATATAAACATTACTATAATATACGCACCTGGGTTTCTTCCAGGCGGCAGTGTTGTTGTTGTCCGAGGCCGGGGTGGAGGGGGCGGTAATGCCCTTCTTGCCGGCACCCTGCTTGGGCGTAGCCGGGGAACTGTTGCCGAGGCGAGAACCCATGGATTTCACCTGAAGGGGACAGAGGACCATGTCAATAATTTTACTATCAAAAATTTTGCGGCCGCCCGCGCCATATTCCGCGTTAAACTCTTTTAATTTTTGCGGGGTTATTATATTTAAAGTACTTTTATTGCGTTGTCTTCTGTAATTTGGAGTAGTTTGCACCCTAAAAAACTTATTATATTACCTTGATCTTAGCGGGCTGTGATTGCACAAGTGTAGTCTGAGGATCAATTACGAATTTTGACAACTGAAAGTTTGTTCTTACGTCCGGTAGGGGCGCTGTTAAATTTTCATATAAACTCTGACGATGCGATACGATTACGGAACTGTCAAAATTCGTCTTTGGGCCTCTGCTCTGTAATTTGACGGTGTTGCCACCCTACCTAAAAAACCATATTATATTACTTGATCTTAGCGGGCAACGATTGCACTAGGATGCCGTCTTAAAGGTGTTGCCACCTAAAAAAAATTACTTTGAAAAAAGCTTATTAGATTACCTTAATCTTAGCGGACGAGGATTGCACTAGGATGCCGTCTGTAATTTGAATGTGTTGCCACCCTAAAAAAAATTACCTTGAAAAAAGCTTATTAGATTACTTGATTTAGCGGGCGAGGATTGCACTAGGATGCCGTCTGTAATGTGAAGGTGCTGCCACCCTAAAAAAGAATTGACCCAAAAAAAGCTTATTAGATTACCTTGATCTTAGCGGGTGGTGATTGCACAGGTTCCGGAGTGGCCCCCTTGGGTGGTTTCGGTTTTGGCGTACGTTTCCCCTCCGTCACTACTGGAGGGGGCGCCGACGATACGGGAGATTCCACGCGACGGATCAATTTTGCGTCCCTTGGGGAATAAAAAAAAACGTTCTATATCAGTCTTTAAAGTCCACTGGTAGACACACACAAACCAATTTTAGAATTCCCGATAATACAAATGTTTTGTTACATAAACATACAAGTGATAGTTAATTAATAAATATTTCTAACACACACACAAATTAGTCTTGTCCCAAAGTAAGGCTTGAGAGTTAGAGGATACTAGGATAACGGATAGAACACATATTATATTATTACGTAAATACGTATATTTTTATTTAGAAATACATATAAAGAACCAGACTTACGTACAAATACTTAGCTGCATAACAATATTTGTGTGGTGAATACGAGCATTTGTAACACAAACATTTGCCCCACTGGGTTTCGAACCTGGGACCTTGAAAATCGGCGTTTACACCACACGAAGGTCGTCAAATATCGCAGTATAATAGAAGTGGTCGTAAATTTATGTTTATTAGACCTTTGCAAAATTATTTTTTCAGCATAAAGATATTCTTAGTTATCAAAATGAAAAATATTTTGCAAGGATCAAACAAACCTACATTAGGCAACAATGTTACCTTTATACCTCGTGTCATTAAAGAAAGGAATCTTAAATGTTGCCACAAGACATTCTGTCTCTCTCGCACGTTACTTAGACTGGGACGTGCGAGAGGGACAGAATGTCTTATTAACATTGTTGTTTAATATAAGCTTGTTTCGGTGTGTTATCAATTCATCATCAGCCTATTAATGTTCCCACTGCTGGGGCACAGGCCTTCCCTATGGATGGAATAGGGAAATTGGGCCATGAGCATGACCCACCATGCGGGCCCAGTGCGGATTGGCGGGTGCTAACGACTGCAGATGCAGCCGGGACCAACGGCTTAACGTGCCTTCCGAAGCACGGATGAACTCGAGACGGAAGATTTTTGGTCACCCATCCAATGGCCGACCACTGCGAAAGTTGCTTAACTTTAACGATCACAGCCGAACGCGCTAACCACTCGCGCCATCGAACTCCTCAAATCTTATCAAGTACAATATTAGTATTAAATTAATCCTGAACAAACAATATTCTTTAACAACTACCAATTTCTTTTATATCGACATTCAAAACTAGTACATTGCGCAACTCACCTAATGATCTCCTTCTCAGGGTCATCAACACCCAGTGGTTCTTTGAAAAATGAAAAGTTCTCCAGAGTAAGGCCTGTGCCTGATAAGTGCTCCGCCACCTTAAACAATGACAATTCAAATAAACACAATATCAATATTTTTTTCTCTACCACCAGCTAAGGACTATGGAGAATTTTAGCTATGGAGAATAACTGACGAAAAAAACTTCTTCACAACATTAAATAATTGTGTAACTAATTTACAAAATATTATATTGCTACATTGTCAATACAAAATCACATCATCTTCACCATAATTATAGAACTAGCCTGCCGGAACGTTTGGAGCAGTTAAAACCCAAGCATTTTTGTCTGAAATATAATCAGACAATTTAGAATAGGCTTTATTAATAAGAACTCTTTTAATGGTAATTTTAAATTTATTATACGCTTAATTTTTGGATATTTTTATTGTAGAAGCGTACACCAAATACCTTTAAATGGATTATTGATTGAAATTTAATGATAGGTTTAAATGGCAGTGTAATATTATAAGCAGTTTGATGAACACATACCTCCCTAGTGGACCTCAGTTTCTTCCCCTTGGGCGTGTAGTAGTAGATGTCAGCGTTCCTCCTCGAGTGCGCGTCTAGAGCGGCTCTGTAGACCAGTTCCCGTCTCCAGCCCTTCTCTAGCGGCACTCGGAACAGTGGCGACGACATCTCTGTAGACGACCCGCCGCGACCGCGACTGCGGCCGGCAGACGAACCCGTCTAGATAAAGAGATAGATAGATATAAAAAAACGAGCGAGCCTTACAGTAGTCGCGTATGATGTGTAACATTTGAAAACTCACCTTATATTAGTAAAAAAAGAAATAAAACCTACTACAAAAGGAATAAGCCATTTGAACATTATGTTCTAAAATCAAATCAAATAGCGCGCGCTTCCCAAACTTCCTGTTACACACTTCCGTCCCACTTCACGTAATTACTCCCACAAATTGCACGAAAGCGGGAGGAAATATGTTACACATCAATAAATATTTCCAACACTCACACCAATTACCCTAGCCCCAAAGTATTTAATTGTAAGTATTAGAAGTAAGCAAAATCATAATAAAAAATCATTTATTCAGTCTAGGCTGTTACAAACACTTGTGAAGGTCAAGAAGCTACGCCATCGGTTCGCAAAACTACGGTAGGAGACCTTGTACTGAGAACTACGGTAGATACAAGAATTTTGGAGCATAAGTAGTATAGAGTTTAATCTTTCATTTTATAAGAAATAGGTTTGTTGTTTTCGTTCACCTAGAACGTGGAAAGACACATTATATATAAAAAAAAAAGTAACAAAAAAAAGGTACGGAACAAGTCTGTAGACATAAAAAAATAATACCAGAAAAAAATGCACAGGTTCCGGATTGGCCCCCTTGGATAGTTCCGGTTTGGGCGTACGTTTCCCCTGCGTCACTACTGGAGGAGGAGGGGGGCGATACGGGAGATTCCACATACATACTATAAAGCGAAAAGACTTTTTCCCCAACCTATTATACAGATATCAGTCCAACGACCATACTCAAAATGATAAATAAAATCAATGTCACATGTTGTCTTTAACTAGTGCCATTGCAAAGAAAGTTACAGTAATTTAAACAAGCTTTCTCACACTGACAGGCATGCTCAGAGAAGTGTAAGGGCAAATTTTCAACCTCTAGAACCTATTAAAAGCGGAAGCGGAAAAGGATTAATGCACGAACTTTATTTATTTATTGACGTTTCGCAGCCTTTTCAGGTCTGCATCGTCAGAATAATGATTTTTTATTTACTTTATCGAGCTACCTTCGAAAGACTTTTATTGAAATAAAGTTCGTGCATTAATCCGTTAAAACTAGTTTTATGTAATGAGTGATGTGTGTGGAAACCTAAGAAACAAATATAATTAAAAGCTGTTAATAAGAAAGTTCAAACATAGCCTCAATTTTTATTTTACTGTTATAAGAAAATATTGTTGTGTAAAATCTAAACATGAAAGAATTTAATCTACTCAGAAATATATAAATTATAGGGTTTCTGAATCTGATCTTAGGGGGAAATGTTAGTCAGTTATCAGAAGAAAGTCAGCGCTTTAGTACAGCTAAAGTATTTGCCATAAGCATAAAAAGTGCGAGGGAGATAGCAAGTTACTCTCACCACTTTCCCACTCCATGCTGTGGCATGCTGTATTAAAAATATAATTATTAATTATATTGTTGCTTATTTAGTGCCGGATTTTATAATATTTCTTATTTTTATTTTATTTCTGTTTGGCAAGGTTATTTATGTCTGAAATGAATTTATTAACTCTCGCACACACCACCAATAGATACTGAATTTCATTGTAAATATAATTATTAATACTAATGTCTGAAATAAATAAATAATCAGTGAACTCACCTCGCCTGCCATTTCATCTGATCTCGATGACAATGCTGATGATGGTCTGGATCCATCTGTGTAAAAAGTACACATCCATTATTATCTTACAGTAAGTTAAAACATATTCAGATGCCAAGTTAAACATCAAGTAAATTTTTTGCTTAGTTTATAAAGTCACATATTGTCTCATTCTAAAGTTATCGCAAAGAAAGTGTCCACATCAACTTCAAAAGAAATATAAATTGCCTTTCCAGAGTGAAGCCGTTATTGAAAAATTGCTATAATCATCACAAATAAGACGAGACTTTCTAAAAGAAACCAATATTACCTGTATCCTGTCTTGGTCTCTTGGAGGCTCGGAGTGGAGCAGAAGGAGTAGCCATCACTTTCCTCACCGGAGTGAAATCCTTCGTGGCTGCCGTCACTTCTGCTTCCAGTCGCTCTATTGACAAATATAATGGGTTACTATTTAGACTGGTATGTGCCTTGAAACAAGGTGCTATAGATCCTTTATTGAATGAAGTCTCAAAATTTTGTATTCAATGTAACACAGAAAAACGGTTTTTTTTTTGTGTGTATGAAGTGTGAAGAAAACAAGCAAATACTGAAAAATAAAAATAGGAGTGAAGGAATTGCGTAATAAATCTCTTACCCAAAACAAGGTTATAGCCAGATAAGTCATTAGGATCAACCATGTCAAATCCCTTGAAATCCTCATTTCCGCTATCGCTGAATGCTGCAGAGGCCCTACGTTTGACACCACGTTTCTCTTCCTCTACTTCTTCCTCCTTCTTTTCGACTTCAATGGGTCCCTCTTTTGGAACTTCTTCAGGATCCTCTTTCGGGACCTCAGAAGGTTCCTCGTCAAGGGGACTCTGAAGAGGCCCTAACTCTTCAGAGTCCCCTTGTAGGAACTCTACTTTAAGCTCCTCTACGGGATCCTCCTTGGGGACCTCAACAGGATCCTCTTTCATATCTTCGTCTGGTTTGTCAAACAGAGCTGTCCCTGGCTCCGACTGTGGTATATCCGCATCCAGTTCATCATTATTGTCTTCAATTGTTTCATCTGACATCTCTAACTTTGAGATTAGGACATCTGTTGAAAATAATTGAAATTTTAAGTGGCACACAGTCAAGTATTAGCAGTGGAACTCTGAAACCCCACTCACTATATTTATATATATGTTAAAAGATTATATTTAAAGAGTTATTATTTTCGTAATTCAACACAACATTTTGTTCGTACTAGGTATCTATCATAGGATACTAAATTATGAAAGTCCATACAAAGTTAAGTTACTTTTCATCTCACTAGATGTCTCTTGGTATTTAAATTCCAACAGGTGCCAGATTACCAGTATTCCAGTACAAATTAAATAAGAGGGCGCCCAGATGACGCAAAAATCTGATTTCTATTGAGAATAAAACCAGAATATGCTCGAAATAGCATCGCCATCTAGTATGAGATAGCACTATTATCTGTCATGGTCTAGTAAGTTGCTCATGTTGCTATTTCAACATTAGGAACATGCTTTAAAAATAATAAAAATTATAACTATAATTGCTATTTCTTCTTTCAAATGTTCAATACTTGTAAAAGTATTCATTTGACATTGTGGGTTTACCTATAATGCGAAGAGATGGCGCTGCCTTGCAGCTTAAGAATAGCTAGAAAGAATTTCGACGCGGTCCGTGAGGGCCGCGGTAGCATAATTGGTCAGTGCATTCGCCCGGATTGCGAAGGGTGCGGGTTCGAGTCCCGTCTGCTGCCTGGTCCGCGTGGAATTTTTGTCTAGTTATATTTTCTTTAGATTTAAACATCAAGCAGTTACATGCTTTAAAAATAATAAAAATTATAACTATAATTGCTATTTCTTCTTTCAAATGTTCAATACTTGTAAAAGTATTCATTTGACATTGTGGGTTTACCTATAATGCGAAGAGATGGCGCTGCCTTGCAGCTTAAGAATAGCTAGAAAGAATTTCGACGCGGTCCGTGAGGGCCGCGGTAGCATAATTGGTCAGTGCATTCGCCCGGATTGCGAAGGGTGCGGGTTCGAGTCCCGTCTGCTGCCTGGTCCGCGTGGAATTTTTGTCTAGTTATATTTTCTTTAGATTTAAACATCAAGCAGTTACATGCTTTAAAAATAATAAAAATTATAACTATAATTGCTATTTCTTCTTTCAAATGTTCAATACTTGTAAAAGTATTCATTTGACATTGTGGGTTTACCTATAATGCGAAGAGATGGCGCTGCCTTGCAGCTTAAGAATAGCTAGAAAGAATTTCGACGCGGTCCGTGAGGGCCGCGGTAGCATAATTGGTCAGTGCATTCGCCCGGATTGCGAAGGGTGCGGGTTCGAGTCCCGTCTGCTGCCTGGTCCGCGTGGAATTTTTGTCTAGTTATATTTTCTTTAGATTTAAACATCAAGCAGTTGCATGCTTTAAAAATAATAAAAATTATAACTATAATTGCTATTTCTTCTTTCAAATGTTCAATACTTGTAAAAGTATTCATTTGACATTGTGGGTTTACCTATAATGCGAAGAGATGGCGCTGCCTTGCAGCTTAAGAATAGCTAGAAAGAATTTCGACGCGGTCCGTGAGGGCCGCGGTAGCATAATTGGTCAGTGCATTCGCCCGGATTGCGAAGGGTGCGGGTTCGAGTCCCGTCTGCTGCCTGGTCCGCGTGGAATTTTTGTCTAGTTATATTTTCTTTAGATTTAAACATCAAGCAGTTACATGCTTTAAAAATAATAAAAATTATAATTAGGAAACTAGTATGGCAGTTAAAAGTGCAAACATGCACATTAAATTTTAAAAATTGTTTCATTTTAGGTTTAAGCACAGTTCAATAACAGCTAATAATGTAAAAAATCAAGCAGTAATTAAATTTGTTTTCTTTGTTGATTATAAAAGACACACATCAGATTCGATTGCCGCGCCGCCTGCTGCTTTATTTGTTACCAGTTATTTTAAATTTTATTTCTTTTATCATCTTTTTTTTATCTTAGGTTTTTTTAGAAATATTTATTTCAAAAAAAATTACTGTAACAAAATTTACAAACATTGGGAAGTAGGGATTGTTGATAAAAACCAGAGCTATATTAATAATCTATAGGTGGACCTACCAAAATTTTCATATAATTATCCTGACAAAACTACTTTTTTGATGGATGTATTATTTGTAATCAGAAAGTGATAACTCGTATTATTTCTTCTTACGATACAACACTACATTCAATATAGATACTTTCAGCACTCCTAGATTCATATCAAATGGGATAAACCAAATGTGTGTGCCGGTACATAGAAAATGTATGGCGAGCGCACATTATTAGCCAGATTTCTTTGCCTTCCATTAAATAGTAATATAAATCTAGGGAAATCTAAGAAATTATATCTGGCAGCCCTGTCGCCTCCAGGTAGCCTGATTTGATATCATCATCTGGGAACTGATGCGAAGCTGATATATGCGCCCAGCTTAACTCAAACAATATCCCTTTGGCATGGTTGGCCACTCAAAGAAATAAGAACAAAGAAATGCCATCTAGGGAACCTATATAAAAATGAGTATTGAAATAATAGCTCTACTTTAATTACATTTGTAGAAAAATATGATTTAATATATTGTCACATGATAGAAAATTGTTAAGTACGGCAGAGTCTATATTCTCAAGGATTTCTGTAATGATGCAGAAATTCCTCCAACAATCCATGTTGAGAGAAGCAACACATTTGAAAATTTGTCAAAATACTACTTTGTTTGTTTTGATGACAGATGCAAGAGACTTCAAAGGGTGGCAAAATACCAATTTCTCAAAGAAAATGTTGAAAATTGTACTTATTTGTATTTTTTTTAATTCCGTGATTTAAGCAATAAATTTATAACAAAAAATGGTAATGAGATATCACATTACTTTGTGATAATACATCTATTCAAATTTGCTCAACCTATTAATAGTAAAAATAAGATACAGCTACGACTAGTGCAACAAACAACTTGGACAATGGAAGGATATAAATTATGTACCCTTGGAACTGGACAAGTGTGGTAGCTAACTGATCCCAGTTAATAAATGCAGAGGCAATTCTTTTGTAATGTAAATTAAATGACATATCAGTCTTAAAAATAAATGTTTCGATAATCCAAACATAAATGCTATTGAATGTAATGTTTTGTATTGTTTATTGGTATACTAATGTGTTCGCTTCCCAAAAAAGAGGCTAGAAAAGATTTCCTTGCAAATCGAATGTCTACTACAAATCTGCTCCGCCATACTGCCAAACATTCAAAATAATAAATTAACCAAACTTTCATTTTGCAGAAAAAGAAACAAACTAGATAGAAATACTAATCTCATCATGTCCATTTACATCTATGTCCATAGAGTATATATGAGCAAAAAAACGAGGCACAATTGACCAATGATATTGATGTACATTTAAAAAAGAATTTACACATTTTAAAACACAACAGCTTAAGAGAAAATGGACAGCAGCAACATGGTAATTAGTACTAATTACTCATTAAATTTGCTATTATAACATACAACAATGTTAATGTTCAAGTTAGTTTTAACGACTATGACCAATAAAAATGTAACAATAATCATAACCAATATGAAAGTTGTAATTCAAACATGTGAAATGTTAAATTCTCAATTAATTCAGGGGCTAACAAACATAAAAGATCAAACATACATAATCTATAATCTATTTTAGCAACAAGGTTATGTTATAAATAATAAAATTTGTGAACTTCAAAGCTACAAGAAATATTTAATATGACTGTTGTTATATTAAAATATAAACAACCAATTTAGTAAGTGTTGCACAAATTAGAGATTTAGAATTATGTATGTCATCAAATAAGCTTAGAGGTTATGTGAAAGTTGCATTACCGTCTGCTGGGCCCGTGACTGGCTCCATTTCACCAGGGGGATGTTCTAAATCCGTCGGAGTTTCTGGGGGAGCCATATCAGGCTCCACGGCAGCATCTGATGCCGTTTCTTCGCCATTAGATTTGGCATCTTCACTTGAAGCGTTATCAGTCACCGCCATTTCTTCCGACATTGTCAATTTATTTCAAAATTAAATAAAACCACTGTCAAGGATTAAAAAGCCACATAACAAGGCGGTTACGAAACTGTAGCAGCCTTCGTGACAAATTAACAGCGTTTGTGCGCGTCACTCCGAAGATTTCCCGCTATAAGGATACGTGATGGAGAAACTATGGCTTTTGTTTGTATACACAAGTTGGCTATCACTACTTTTTCAGAAAAAATGATTAATTCATATATATCTACTTTTCCATCAATTTATTTTATGGAAACGCGCAAAATACAGTACAAAATACTGTACAATTTTGCATCGACACTATTAAATTTCCAATTCCCATGGAAAACGTCGATCATAAACAAAACAAACCCTCTCCATGCACGACGCCACACTTGATTGTCTATGGCAAAGTAGTGCAGTACCATGCCGTTTTTAACTGATGATTTTAAGCGATGGTAGGCAGTGTTGCCAGGTCTGATTTTTAAAAATCGGGAGGCGTTATAGAAAAAAGCTGTAGATGTACAAAAAGACCTACAAGAAAAAAAGAAAAAACAGTAAATGCAGAGGCGTACTTTGTTTGTTTTTGTAGATTTGCTACCACTTCTGCCGCCCCTCAAAGCACGTTTTTTTTAGGCAATAACATTTATTTGTATAATAATTAAGGTTACCTACATTATTAATGGCGGAAAATGCATCTCAACACATGCAATTTAAAATAGCAAATCGTATTATAAGAAAAACAGTAGATTCATGTAGAAAAACAGTAGAACAGGAGAAATTTCAGAAAAACAAGAGATCTCCTGTGAAATCGGGAGACCTGGCTACTCTGATGGTAGGGGCGAGTGAGCAACAGAGTACGGAGGCTTTCTTAACACTTTATATTCTATCGTTCCTTTTTTTTCGGGGTATTAATATAATCATCAATTTCGTTTTTTAAGATTTGAAACATATACCTATAATTTTGCTTTTACTTACCTTACCTTTGTTTTTTCAAAATTATGTAACTGAAAACCTTTTTTTTTATTTATCCACACTGAGTCATTTCTAGTTTACCTATGACAAAAAGTTTATATTTTTATATATCCATACTGGAATATTCGAGGTGATTGGGACCACTCCTATATCATATGATGACTCCCAGTGCTGAGTATAGACCTCCCCCGGATTATCAATGTTGGCATTATTAATAATATTTAAATAATATTGGTAGGTATTTAAATTGCCTTATTACTCATTAATTTTTTAAGGATCCCTTCGTCTGACCGGATAATTTAAAGATTACCACAATCACAGATTACTACAAAAGCAGAATTGCAAATAATATGAAGTTATAAAAATTCTAACATTTAATCCGAGAATTGAATGACTCGTACGTAAATATTTCACGAATATTTTAGCATGCACACCATATAGTCAAATAATATTCTAATAATAAACAATTTGGGAAATAAATGGAGCGCTCGCTTTTTATTTATAACATTTTTAGGATGGTATGTTGTAATGATTATTTATTAAGAGATAAAGGGCCTATATTCTAACTTTTCATTTCACAGTGCTCGGATTGGCGCTCTTTGCATCATCTGACAACATAAAATGAACTTTAGTGTCTAAATTCCATGTCGTTTCATAATTGTTATTTTTATTAATAGGTACACAGTCTTTTAAAGTAAGTATGTCTATGGTCACTCAGTAATAATTGCCATAAACCTTAGACCATTAAACTACAACATTCAAGGCCAAGAAGGGTAGACTTTACAATGATTGGCCCCATATGCGAAATTCTTTATTTGTGTACCTGTTGTAAATTAATTATTCGTTTTCGATTGGATGTAGTTCCACAATTTAAAATAAGAAGAATTTAAAAAGCTCAATATTATTATGTATTAAAATATTTCAAAATCAACAGAGAAAGTTATAAATGGTTTGTAGAGAAGCCACTACAACGTGTTAATTTTCATCAATATCATCAAAGTCAGTTCTTACATTGATCATTGTAATATAAAAATCAGTCAGTCCCTCAGCCTAGCTTACGCTTCTCTGTAGCCTAGCTTTCGTCTCTTCATACCCTAGCTAGCTTCTTTCATGCCCTTCCTCGTAACAACTCCGTTTTAAGTGGTTTAGGATGTGCTGACTCCTAAAACGAAGTGGTAATTCTATCTATAACTGATCGAACTGGTGCCGCCTAGCCGTCAACCAGTGTCTGGCGAGCCGTAAGCGTCACCTAGAACCGCACCGGAACAGCTTATCCACTTACGTTAGGTAAACGCCTGTTTGAAGGTAAGCCAAAAGCTAGTGATCTCGTTCTGAGTTGATATGTGTCATCATCATCATCAACCAGCATATTAATATCCCCACTGCTAGGGCACAGGCCTTCCTTATGGCGGAAATAGGGAGATTGGGCCATTCATGACCCACCACGCGGGCCCAGTGCAGATAAGTGGGTGCCAACAACAGATGCAGCCGGGATCAACAACGTGTCTTCCGAAGCACGGAGAAGCTCGAGATAATAAGTTGTTGGTTACCCATCCAATGACCGACGACTGCGAAAGTTTCTTAACTTTGACAATCGCAGGCCAAACGCGCTATCCACGTACGCCAGCGAGCGCAGCTATAAATGTCTGCTAATGCTAATACGGATAAAAGATGTGACTTACAATAAATATACAATCTTTACTAATATTACAAAAATGAAAGTTTTGATTATTTGTTTGTATTGAATAGGCTCCGAACGTACTGGACCGATTCGAAAAATTATTTCATATTAAGAATCCTTCATTATCCGTGATGACCATAGGCTATAGATTATTTTCATAAAAGGTAACTTCGATAATTTAATCCAACGTGTGTAAAATATACCAAAAAATAAATTAGTGTCGCGTACGCTGCGGAAGTCATTGACAATAGAGCAAAGTGATTTACCAAAATTGTATAGAGGACTAGATCCATGTTCTTGCACCTTTTGACAAAGGACTTGTTCTCTTATTGGTCTGTGGGCAGAGGGTAAATGCCTGTAATGGCGTCTCCCGTTATAGATACTCAAAGATTCATTCAACCGAATAGTTAGTGCAATCTTTAAAATAGACGTATATAGCATGTAGCTGTTAGCATTAATTTAAGTAAAAAAATATAGTGGTGAATTTTTTATGCAATTACAAGTAACATAATTGAGCACTGGTTATCAATATTGGGATGAAGAGTTTACAATAAAAGCCAATATAGAGATATATTATAAAATGTTTATTAATTCTTCCTACGACCTTGCTTGGGCGCTTGTGGCTTTCCAAATGCGGTCTTAGCTTTAGATTTAGACCCTTTGCCTTGAGCTCCTTTATTTTTACCACCAGGGCCTTTGCCGGGGGGTCCCCTAATTTTGCCACCCTTCCCTTTGGGTGGGAATCCCTTCTGCGCTCTGTTCGCGTCATATCGAAGTCTCTTAGTGGCAGATTTAGATGTGTCCGTGAGGTCGTTGGCAAAATTACTCTTATTCTTCTTGTGTTTGGGTCTATTTTGATTTCTCTGCGGTCTTTCTTCTTCGTCGTCCACAGCTCGAATGCGACGCATCTTCTTTTTCCGTTTCGCCACACGAGATTGAAGCAGCGCCACCTGTTAAAAAGATTTGTAATTAATATTCTTTGTTTATATACACGCCTATTATAGATATAACAATCAAAATGAACCACGTGACGCTATTATCAGATTGTTTGAAAGCAGTCAATGTGTGCGTTATTTACATATTAGCCGTGTAAATAATCAAAGTCAATATTATTGCTTTCACTGTGTTAGCGTTAAGAGATTATATACAATTTTTTATTTATATACTTTGAGGTAAAACACAAATCAATTGCGAGTAATGATAATATAGCTGATATATCATGTAACAAACAATATTTGGTGTAATTCCGATATTCCGAAATATTACTATAGATTAAATTAATTTATAATAAAAGACTGGTGAGGTTTTGTGTATTGTTTACAAATATTTGTGTCAACTGGCAAAAAGATAAACAAGCAGCAGCAGCTCGAAGGACCATTTTTATTTAATACTTAATTTAAATTGCCCATAATGAAATAATATTAGCAAACCTTTAATCTACATTCTTTTAGTTATCACCCAGTGAATAAGAAATAATTTAAATACAAACTGCACTAAAAGTGGTTCCATGCAAACCACGTTCTAGTGGACGGGGCGGAAAAAATGCGATCAGCACGCCGAATATGGGTTTGGTTGGTATTTATTTCCGTTTGACATATCTTACCCAATGAATGGGTAGCCGAATTGATTTGCAGAGATTTAATTCGGCAAAGTATTTTGTTATGTCTGTGTACGTGTCGCGTTAGTATTTAAGTTAAGTTGTTTAAGTTTGAAACCATGTTTTAACGGTCTTAGTTAGAGAGTAATGCTTTTATCATTTTAAGATTCCATACCCAAAGAGTAATTACATCAAGAGTTCGATAGAAGATATTTAAGTCTGGATTTTGAATAATAAGAAAACTACTTTAGTCAAGGCTGTATGACGCATTTTGTCGTCTTTGCCTTTTCCGTTAATGAATGGTAAGAACGGAAGCAAAAAAAACCCAAAGAGTAAAAACCGGACCCTATTACTAAGACTCCGCTGTCCGTCTGTCTGTTCTATCTGTCTGTCTGTCACCAAGCTCTTCTGAACCATGATAGTTAGACAGTTGAAATTTTCAAAGATGATGTATTTCTGTTGCCGCTATAACAACATGTACTAAAAACTGAATAAATTAAATATTTAAGGGGGTTCCCATAACAACAAACGTGATTTTTTTACCGTTTCTTGCTCTATATTAATATCGGCAAAACGCTTGCAATATTTAGTTGTATATTCACTTTAAAAAAAAAAAATTAAGGCAACAAGAAACGGCAAAAAATTAAGTCGGTTGTATAGGAGCCCCTCCAATATAACCGCCTTGATTTTTTGCAGTTTCTTGTTAGATATTTTAATATAGTGTCTAATTTTGTACAGATAATGGTACGGACCAGTTTGTGAGAGTTCGATTCGCAATTGTCTGGTTTTTATTAATTAGTTGTTATCACCTTCTCCATTTCCCGGCGGACCCTCTCCTCGGGCGTGTCTTTGGGCGTATGTTTTGTCTCTTTCTTCTTCTTCTTTTTGTTGATGTCTTCGTCGTCGTCATCGGAGTCGTCGCGCTTGCGTTTCTTGCCCTTTGTCTTCTGTTGCTTTTCAACTGTTGTTATAAACTTGTTATTAATACATATATTAATATATATGAAAATAATAGAAATTAGAAAAGTACACTAGATAGTGTCTATAGCAACTTAAGTTAATCTGTGTCATTGTTTATGGTTGTGTGCTCTATAAATAAAAAACTTTGTCTGTGGCTAACGCTTGTAGTTTCAATAGGTTATATATATCCATATTCAAAAAATAATTATAAAAACAAAAGATTTGCACTAAATACCATTAAAAATACCAAAGCTTTCATCACAATTAGCCGCTGAACTAATTTCGAAAAAGAATTGTAGGTTACTTCACCAGACGGCAGTTTCAATAAAATAAAATATACAGTTTATTTCGTTAACCTTATTTTACAATATTTTTCTCTGGCCAACTACCCAGGAAGCATGCAGTAATGCTTGTGTTTGGCGGTTCTGCTCCTCCCTAGGATCTCATACATTTGTTTAGTTTTTTTTTTTTTATAGGGGGCATACGAGCAGACGGCTCAACTGATGGTAAGTGATCACCGTCGCCCATGGACACTTGCAACACCAGGAGTATCACAAATGCGATGCCGGCCTTTAAGGAAGGAGTACGCTCTTTTTTTGAAGGTTCTTGGGTCGTATTGGTCCGGAAACACTGCTGGCGACAACATATTCCAAAGTTTTTGGACGCATCCGTGCAGTTAATAAGATATTAGCCGTGTAAATAATCAAAGTCAATATTATTGCTTTCACTGTATTAGCGTTAAAAGATTATATGCATTTTTTTATTTATATGCTTTGAGGTAAAACACAAATCAAATCAAATTTTGTCGTACGTGGTAAAAAATTTCGACAAAAACGCACGGTTGTGGATAGCCACGCATCAAGATGATGGGGATGAAATTAAAAGTAACTAAATAACTACTCTTTATAATAACAAAATATTTTTTTAAAGGTATAGGTATAATTAAATACTGGTATGTGTTTGTGTGTGTGTGTGCGTGTGTATAGAACCAATATGATAGGACATTCGTACTGAAAGTCTGCTATGTTCTTCCCTCTTCTCGAGTTCCATGGTTGATGTAATTCCTACCTTTCCCGGGGTGCGTGGTGATGTGATAGATTATAATATTGAAATTGGTGCAATAAGAGACGCTTTCCAAGCAAATGTGTCATAAACCTTATTTTACAATATTTTTCTGTGGCTAACTACCCAGGAAGCATGCAGTAATGCTTGTGTTCGGTGGTTCTGCTCCTCTCTAGGATCTCATACATACTCTCATCAAATAACAACTCTTTATAATAACAAAATATTTTTTTAAAGGTATAGGTATAATTAAATACTGTTATGTGTTTGTGTGTGTGTGCGTGTGTATAGAACCAATATGATAGGACATTCGTACTGAAAGTCTGCTATGTTCCTCCCTCTTCTCGAGTTCCATGGTTGATGTAATTCCTACCTTTCCCGGGGTGCGTGGTGAGTGCAAGTCTCTCCTTCTCCTCCCTCTTCTCCTTGGGCGTTTGGAACCATTCGTGTTGTCTCTGAACCTCGTACTTGGGACCAGGTTCCTTCGCCAGCTTGCCTTCTAGCTTATTGGTCTGCTTCTCCATCTTGTTGAGTTGCTTCTCAGCGTATTCCTCGTCTAATATGGCGGCTGTTGGGATAATAATACGATATGTTGTAGACTAATTAGGCCTCCTGTTCTGTTGTTGTTGTTTATTTATTTATTTATTTACTAATTTAGTACACCACAGTAATACAGACAAGAAGAACAGGAACAAGAAATTTGTTGTTGTACAAGGGCACTACTTATTTCATATTGAAATTTCTTCCAGCTGGCCCGCGAAAGGAAAGAACATTAAAAAAGGTCATCAGTGTGTGCCTTCTGAATATAAATAACAAAATACAATACTTACATAAACAAAACCTACATATATATATATATATCTACATAGATGTACAAATAACCATATACAGTCAAAACCGAATATAACGACATCGTTTACAACGACGTGTCGGTTATTACAACCAATTGGCAAGGTCCCGACCGAAACCCTATAAAAACCCTCAAGTAAACAAACCGCCTATAACAACACCGGATAAAGCGAAATTTCGCTTAAAACGACTTATAGTCAAGGAATAGTGATAAAGTTCATATCGATATTCATCGGCTATAACGACTAACCGTACAGTAGATACTTAGGTACCTACTGTATATTACCTACTAGGTAGGTAATTTTTTCATAGTAAACTTATTACTTCTTTTTTCGATATTTTATTTGAAAACAAGCTTATATTCATCATCTATAACCATACTACATACATACATTATTACAATAATATGACAACTTTTGTATATTGAACATAACGTCCGAAGTTATATGGTCCCTTCAATGTCGTTATATCCGGTTTCGACTGTATACTTAAATAAAATATACGAGTATTAAAAGGAGAAGCAATACAGTTAAGAAACAGTTATTCAAGAGGATAGATAGTGTTCCTTCAACCGTTTTTAAATGAAGCAACAGTTGGACTGTCTCTGATTCCTGCTGGCACTGCTCCACAAGTTGTTATGTTAAAGACTAAAATAAGGTCTCTTGTTGTGGAAGCAGCTCGGTTGCACAGGTGGTTAGCGGGTTCGGCCTGAGATTATGGAAGTTAAGCAACTTTCGCAGTGGTAGGTCATTGGATGGGTGACCAAAATCTTATTATCTCGAGCTCTTCCGTGCTTTGGAAGGCACGTTAAGCCGGACTCGCGTGGTGGGCCACGGCCAAAACGCCATATTCCATTCATAGGAAAGGCCTGTGTCCCTGCAGTGGGGACATTAATAGGCTAGTGTTTTTTCTGTGATGGTGGTGATAGGCCTCTTGTTCAGCCTTTATTTTATGTGAGACCTGGGCTGATGCAAAAATATCTGAAAAAAAGATATGGCAATAGTGCTTTTCATAAACTTTGAAGGAAAACTATAATGGTTAAGATAGATCAGTTAGTTTAAAAGTAATAGTCGTTCATCTTATGTTTTTTTTTTATTTTCCTTCGAAGGAAACAATGAAGTGACTTAGATGGAGTAATTGCTTGTTCATAACGCGTAAAACCAAGCTATGAAAAAACAAACAAGTCAAAAATTATGATAGTGAAGAGCGCATGTCGCGGCGCAGTAAACAAAATGTATTTATTATGTTGGAGGCCGCGGGATGTCACTGGAATCAAACCTGCTGCTAACTTCACAGTTGCCATTAAGTTTTAATAGCACTATACTACAATATTAATTGAAATATGTTTTCGTTTTTTTATTTGTCAAAAAGCATTTGTCAACGTTAACATTAAACATTTTTGTCAAAATTAACATTTATTAACATTGATTTTGAATCTTATGTTTAATTAGGAATAACTTAGAAAGGATTAAGAATTGGAATTCGGCGCTGTAGTAACTTTTATTCAGCTCAAAAATACCTATCCCATGATGTAACACGCATAGCTATTTGAAGGTGGTACCAGATTTCATACAAACCCTGGCATCATCCTTTAGAGAGACTATGATACTTACCAATCTCTGGTTCCAGTTTGGCCATTTTGGCTCGGTACTTGGCGATTATATCAGGCGGCACTTGTCTGGCCTTCACTGGCTTTCGCGCTCGCTTCACTATCGCCTTCACCAGGTTTCGCTCGCCTTCACCGGCCAACGAGACGGAGACACCAGCTCTCCCGGCTCGAGCCGTTCGACCCACCTGGTAAATAAATCGTGAAAATATGCCATGTATGAGATCATCACTGAGAAATAATTGTTTATGAACACTCGTTTCATAAAAATATTTATTTATATTTATTTATTTTCAATTTATTAAAAATACAGGTGTACAAAACAACTTATTTTGCCAAACTGGAAAGTCAGTTAGTTGGCAAATAATACGCTCTTCACACTGCTTTTTCTATCTTTATATATATAATTCTTCTGTGAGTGTGTATGTCACTGAACTTCTCTTAAACGACTGGACCGATTTTGATGAAATTTTTTGTGTGTGTTCAAGGGGATCTGAGAATGGTTTAGATTCACAATTTTGTCCGCTGGACAACCCCTATTTTTTTAGGGCGGTACGAAGTTCGCTGGGTCAGCTAGTATAATATAAAATTCTCGTGTCACAATGTTAGTTACCATACTCCCCCGAAACGGTCTGACCGATTTTTATTAAATTTTATATGCATATTCTGTGGATTAGAGAATTGGCTACTATCTATTTTTCATATCCTTAAGTGATAATGGTTGTCCACCTGTAACCTAGTGTTGTGTAACCTACAATGCGCTTTCGCGCTAAAATTCAAACTATTTGGTGTTGTAACGTATGGTTCTTATGGGTTAGAAGGAATGTTATCCCAGGAAATTGATAGAACACTACGTTACACACCCCTAAAATTTTTTTGGGCAATATTTATTTTTCATAATGTGGTATTAAAAAATACATACAACCCCAAATTTTCTCTTCTACCACCTGCCCCTATTTTTATGGCGGTACAAAGTTCGCTGGGTCAGCTAGTAATTATATATAATATATACTAGTAGCCCGCCTTCGCTTCGCTTCGGTGTAGAGCTGTAGTGCAGAATTCAAATTTTTTTCACCTTTTAAACCTTCCCTAGACCTCCACGAACATTTCAAGACCAAGATAAGATAAATCCGTTCAGCCGTTCTCGAGTTTTAGCGAGACTAACGAACAACAATTGATTTTTATATATATAGATATATATATGTATATGGATATATATATACCACCACTATACAATAAAATAAAATATCTGTCTAATCACACCCCGTCTAGTAAGTAATAGGTACAATTCAAAACAAAAAAAATACAATTTGAAGAAATTCTAATTACTCTTAACTATGAGCAATTCAAATGCTAAAACGGCTGAACTGACTTGGATGAAATTTTGGCACACAATTTAATATGTTTCTGAAACATGTGAAATTGTCATCGCAGAGAAACTTACCCTATGAATGTAATGCTCTATGGTAGCCGGTAGAGTGAAGTTGAGCACAGTTTTAACTCCTGGTATATCCAGACCTCTGGCCGCTACATCTGTGGCTACCAGTACATCCACCTGCTCTTCCTTGAACCTCTTCAGGGAATCCAACCTTTGAGGCTGGTTCAAGGCGCCGTGGAGTTCAGCGACCTTTGGCGGGGGGGAATAAAATAAATTCATGTTATTTACGAGATTTTTACGGAAGAAGCTCGATGGCGCAAGTGGTTAGCGCGTTCGGCTGCGATCGTTAAAATTAAGCAACTTTCGCAGTGGTCGGTCATTGGATGGGTGACCAAAAATTTACTTTCTCGAGCTCCGCCGAGCTTCGGAAGGCATGTTAAGCCGTTGGTCCCGGCTGCGTCTGCAGTCGTTACCACCTGCCAATCCGCACTGGGCCCGCGTTGTGGGTTATGGCCCAACTTCCCTATTCCATCCATAGGGAAGGCCTGTGCCCCAGCAGTGAAGACACATAATAGGCTCATTATGACGGGATTTTTACCGTTAGTGGTACGGGTATCGAACGCAATAAAAGACTGAAGTCTTTTAAAAGTGTAGGGTAGGCCGATATGTCTGCCAATAACAGCCTACCCGCAATTACTTCAGTTACTCCGTGATCATGGCGCTTGCAACAGTGCCGAAATATCGGAAACTCTTATATACCACAGACAAAGAAAAATTGTCAACTTAGTAGGCAGAAATAATAAATACGAATATTATAAAAAGAACTATTATCCACATTATCGCATGATTAGATCATCTTTTCCATAGGATTTTTCCATTTACACCCCGTCCGAATAAAGGTTTCACTACATAAATAGTTTTGAGTTCCAGAAAAGGATATAGGATAGTTTTAATCCTTGAAATCACCCTTTCAGGGAGTGAGAAGGGGGGGGGGGGGAAGGTTTGTGGTATGGGAAACTAAGCTTGCCACGCAGAAAAAGTCATAGAGGCATAATATTATCAGTGTTCTCACCTTGACACCGAGCAATCCTAACGCGACGTGTAGTCTATGCGCTTGCTTCTTGGTCTGTACGAATATGACGGCGCGATCCCTGAACGTGCGGCACACTAGCGCCGCCAGTATCGCTTCACGGTCGCACTCGCGCTCTTTTCGAATCCTAATAAAAACATAAGCTTTAAATAAAACAAATTTCAACGGGTTAGATGCACTGATTTTATTTATTTACTAGCGGCCCGCCCTCGCTTCGCTTCGATGTAGAGCTGAAGTGTAGACTACAGCTTTTGGTCTCAGGCTTGTATTATACACAATGACATTCATGTATGATTCTTCTTAGACCTGCATGCAAAGTCTCAGCCCGATCGGTTTAATATTGACAAAGTTTCATATATATAAACTTTCATTCCTATTTTACCCCCTTGGGGGTAGAATTGATCAAAATCCTTTCTTAGCGGATGCCTACGTCATAACATCTACCTGCATGCCAAATTTCAGCCCGATCCGTCCAGTGGTTTGGGCTGTGCGTTGATAGATCACTATGTCAGTCAGTCACCTTTGAGTTTTATATACATATATAGATTGACGATTCGCATCCTTTACGAGGAATGCGTCGTCGGAATAATGATTTTTTATTTACTTTCTCGAGCTACCTTCGAAAGACTTTTATTGAGAGTTCGGATATTTTATTAGCAGATTTTTAAAACTCCCGAGTTAAAGGAGACAAGGTATTATTTGAGAGTTATGCAGTATGCGCTCATTAGATATCGAACTTGATACCTCTTATAGATAAGCTTTAACTTTTGTCAACGTATTGTTATAAGGGGAATGTTGTCTTGTAAAATAACCTTTAACATTACATGTTAAATGCTTAATAATTAAAAAAGTATGACTTCCTCCCGTGCACAAAACTAATTTAAAAAAAAGCTAAAAATATGAGTTCACATAAAACAATACCACATATCACCAGGGAGGGGGAGGGGTTTAAAATATTTGACAACGGTATTTCCTTTTCACTCCCTATAGAAATTGATAAAGATTTAGTGCTGTCAACAAGCCATGCCATCTGAAATAGTACAAAAAGCCATCTGAAATACAGGCATAAGAATCAACTAAAAAACTCCTACTTCTAATTAAAAGTCATGTTGTTGTTCAATCAATCAAAAATCATTCGAGTCTAGGCTGTTACAGCACTTGTGATGGTCAAGAAGCTACGCCATCTGTTCGCAAAACTACGGCGGGAGACCTTGTACTGAGAAGAACCGGCAAGAAACTCAGTAAGGGCTGTTTCTTCTCCCTGTATTGTTTTTTACATAGTACATCAAGTTGAAAGATGACTTCAAAGATACTTCTGACTACAAGACACGTCCTTCCTTGTTAGAATCTACAAACAATTTGGCCGGCTGTTTGAGCAGTAAGTCTTCTATATGACCCTATTTCATCTACTCCGCAACTCAAACAAACTCCTTTTTCATGTTAAAAGCCACGTCTTAACTGGAGTCAACGAACAGTTAGACCAGCTCGTGTCATCACCCATTTAAGATCTAGTTCATCTCCTTCGTCCAGAAAGGAAAAAAAGCTAAATATTTTATTTATTTCTTTATTTAATCTTTAATGCCTTTACATTGCATATGGCCGACTTAATGCCAGTATGTCATTCTCTACCAGTCAACCGGAAAGAAAGTGCAGAGTCAATAAAACGGCAGACAATCAAAGAAAAGAGCAAACATCAAACAATGAGGAAAACAAAATTTAATAGCGTTTAATACATACACATATACATACATACATTCATATAAATATACACACATACACACACATGTACCTACATAATGTACCTAAAATATAGTGTCCGATTTTAGTATCCTGATTCAACTTAAGAGCCCTTTCACATTTTTTGCAAAAAATTGAATTTTTGAGCGCCTCATTTACCCCTTTAGCAAAGATTTTGATATTTCCAATAGAAGTAAACAATAGATTTATTCTCCCTATTGTAAGTTAATGTAGAATATTAGCAAATACTATTTTCTTTTTTTTTGTACTGATCGTTCTACTGCAGCTAGTGTACGGAAAAAACGATAATATGCACAACTTCAAACGCCTCACTCTCTCAATAATGTTCAATAAATTAGATCAAATTAATTACTACGACATCAGAAATATGTTTTTGTTGTAACATAATGTATTAGAATTTTGATTTTCTATCTCATTAATTGTCAAAAAAAAAAAATCTAACCTCCATGAGTTTCCCAAAAAATAATGCAGGTTTACCTCGTATTTTGATATTGAATTAAATAGAATTACTACCAAAAACTTTCATTAAACTAATCAACATCATTGACCTACTGAAATATGTATATAATTTTTATAATAATTTCATCAATAATTATTTTATAAGACTCGAAACATCAACCGTAAAGTGCAATATATACTAGTGCAAATCTAGCTACGCGCCGATCAGTCGCAATTTTGTAAAAGGGCTCTTAAGCACTATGCAATAGATTTAAACTAGCAAACCAGTGAACCAAATGTTCACCAAAACAAAAAAAAAATGTATTTAATTGAGAACTTCGGAGATTTTGTGTGGTTTCGTTTGAAATTCATGATTTCTCGAAAACCGAAAGTGCTACGTTACTCAAATCCGGTTTGTAGTCTTATCAGACTATTCTTAACTTATAACTTAAATATTCTCTTTATCTATCTCTTACGGTTTGGCCGCTGAAACAGCACCACAGACGGGCGGACTTGTCTAAAAGATAAGAGATAATGTTCCCGCACCGAACTCTAAAATATCTCACTCACCTAACAAACTCCTGTCTCAGATTGAAAGCCACATCCTTGTTGGAGTCGACGAACAGTTTGACGGGTTTATTGAGCGACACGGCTGCCAAGTCTTTGACTTCCTCGCTCATGGTGGCCGAGAACAGCATCGTCTGACGCTTGTGCGAGCACTGCTTTATGATCTCCTTCATTTGCTCAGCGAAGTATTCGTCTAACATCCTGGTGGAGAAAGGAAATTTGTTTGGGTTGACTGGTGTACAGGCCTGTCTGGGACATGAATGGAAAAGAGAGAATGGGCCATGACCCACCAGGAGGTTTACTAACGACTGCAGACGCAGCCGGGACCAACGGCTTGGCGTTTATTTTTTATTTTATTTTATTTATTTGGACAACCAACAAGAACGTTACACCTTAAATGCTAATACATTTCTTTTCTTAAATAATTTGGTGTTGCTTTAATAACAGGCTGTCACGGAAAGCAAAAAAGAAGTGTAATCTAATTAGGAGCATAGGGCATCCTTTAAAAAAATATTCTGATTTTATAAAATAACAAAAACAAAACAAAAGTCCATTACATTACATTTTCAAGATAAAAACCAAACAAAAACGATAGATAGATGAGTTATTAAGTGTTAAGCTGTATTATTATTTTTTTGATGATGGCGAGGGTGGTTAGCGCGTTCGGCTGCGATCGTTGAAGTTAAGCAACTTTAGCAGTGGTTGGTCATTGGATGGGTGACCAAAACTCTTCTATCTCGAGTTCCTCCGTTCTTCAGAAGGCACGTCAAGCCGTTGGTTCCGGTTGCAGTCGTTAGCACCCGCCAAGCCGCACTGGGCCCGCGTGGTGGGTCATGGTCCAATTTCCGTATTCTATCCATAGGGAAGGCCTGTGCCTCAGCAGTGGGGACAATTATAGGCTGATGATGATGACGCATTGGTTGCCCTATTTGCACCGAAAGTAATATGCAGCCGATTTCTCTCTTATTTTAACATAGGAGACTGATGATAAACATGTGTGTGTGTCTGTATGTGTACATATTTCTGACCTGTCAGCCTCATCCAGCACCAGTACTTCAATGGACTGCAGGCCGAAAGAACGAGTGTTCCGGGTGTGGTATATGAGACGCCCCATGAGAAGCATATTTCTGACCTGTCAGCCTCATATAAATGTGTGTTTGTGTGTACTTTCCTGTCCTGTCAGCCTCGTCAATATTTGAGTTTATGTGTGTATTCCTAACCTGTCAACCTCATCCAGCACCAGTACTTCAATGGACTGCAGGCCGAACGAAGGAGTGTTCCGGATGTGGTCTATGCGACGCCCCATGAGAGGCATATTTCTGATCTGTCAGCCTCATAGAAATGTGTGTTTGTGTGTACTTTCCTGTCCTGTCAGCCTCGTCAATATTTGAGTTTATGTGTGTATTCCTAACCTGTCAGCCTCATCCAGCACCAGTACTTCAATGGACTGCAGGCCGAACGAAGGAGTGTTCCGGATGTGGTCTATGCGACGCCCCATGAGAGGCATATTTCTGACCTGTCAGCCTCATAGAAATGTGTGTTTGTGTGTACTTTCCTGTCCTGTCAGCCTCGTCAATATTTGAGTTTATGTGTGTATTCCTAACCTGTGTGTGTGTGTCATCCTCATCCAGCACCAGTACTTCAATGGACTGCAGGTCGAACGAAGGAGTGTTCCGGATGTGGTCTATGAGACGCCCCATGAGAGGCATATTTCTGACCTGTCAGCCCCATATAAATGTGTGTTTGTGTGTACTTTCCTGTCCTGTCAGCCTCGTCAATATTTGAGTTTATGTGTGTATTCCTAACCTGTCAACCTCATCCAGCACCAGTACTTCAATAGACTGCAGGCCGAACGAAGGAGTGTTCCGGATGTGGTCTATGAGACGCCCCATGAGAGGCATATTTCTGACCTGTCAGCCTCATATAAATGTGTGTTTGTGTGTACTTTCCTGTCCTATCAGCCTCGTCAATATTTGAGTTTATGTGTGTATTCCTAACCTGTCAACCTCATCCAGCACCAGTACTTCAATGTACTGCAGGCCGAACGAAGGAGTGTTCCGGATGTGGTCTATGAGACGCCCCATGAGAGGCATATTTCTGACCTGTCAGCCTCATATAAATGTGTGTTTGTGTGTACTTTCCTGTCCTGTCAGCCTCGTCAATATTTGAGTTTATGTGTGTATTCCTAACCTGTCAACCTCATCCAGCACCAGTACTTCAATGGACTGCAGGCCGAACGAAGGAGTGTTCCGGATGTGGTCTATGAGACGCCCCATGAGAGGCATATTTCTGACCTGTCAGCCTCATAGAAATGTGTGTTTGTGTGTGTATTTCTAACCTATCACCCTCATTGAGATGTGTCCTTGTGTATGCTTTCCTGTGCTGTCAGCCTCATCATTATTGGTGTTTATGTGTGTATTCCCAATTTGTCAGCCTCATCCAGCACCAGTACTTCAATGGACTGCAGGCCGAACGAAGGAGTGTTCCGGGTGTGGTATATGAGACGCTCCATGAGACTAATGATAAACGTGTGTGTGTGTGTGTGTGTATCCTACTAAGCGAGTGTGCGTTTCTGACCTGTCAGCCTCATAGAAATGTGCTTTTGTGTATTTTTAACCTCTCATCGAGATGTTTGTTTGTGTGTGCTTTCCTGTACTGTCAGCCTCATCAATATTGGTGTTTATGTGTGTATTCTTAACCTGTCAGCCTCATCCAGCACCAGTACTTCAATGGACTGCAGGCCGAACGAAGGAGTGTTCCGGATGTGGTCTATGAGACGACCCGGAGTGGCTATTACCACGTCGGGGTTCTGACGTAACACGCTTTCCTGTGTGGAAGGGGAAATAACAAAATATTTAATACAGCACCTTACCGCGGCTTCGTCCACGTTAACATTAGTATTTTCAGAATCCCACCGGAACATGTCATTTTACAGGGATAAAATGTATGTCTCAATTCATCTTATTAACTATAAGCGCGTATCAAAGGACATCGACGAAATCGGGCCTAGCATGCCCAAAAGAATGTCCTTCACTATTATTTTTCAGGTTGGTATAGGTATCACAGGTGCCAATTACCAACACTTATAAATCAATATGAATATAAGCATTTATTATTTTATGTTCATTTAATGCATATTATTTAAGTGCTTACATAGAGGTAAACTCTAAATCTATTCAGAATATATAAACTGTGCATCTTTTACGATTAAGTATAATAATTATAACCTCCAAATCTAATACATTCTGTAGTAGGCCACCGTTCCTCAAGTTGTCCGTATCTCAACAAATGCCTAATTAGAGTTTACTAGCAAACCAGTGAACAAAATGTTCACCAAAACCTGATTTAAAAAAAAAAGTATTTAATTAATTGAGAACACGAAGATTTTGTGTGGTTCCGTTTAAAATTCGTGATTTCTCGAAAACCGGAAGTGCTACGTTACTCAAATCCGGTTTGTAGTCTTATCAGACTATTCTTGACTTATAACTTAAATATTCTCTTTATCTATCTCTTACGGTTTGGCCGCTGAAACAGCACCACAGACAGACGGACGGACTTGTCTAATAGATAAGAGATGAATGATTCCGAACACAACTAGCATTTTCTCATTGCTGTGCGTTCTAGGGCATTCAATGTATGGGGAACGAGCAATATCCTTTCATCCAAATGCGTTCATTATATTTTTTTTTATAGATAGGTCGACAAATGACTCCACCCCACCTGATGTTAAGTGACGGTGAAGTCCAGAATTTGCGGTGATTAAGTAAAAAATATACAAACTTTCACATTTATAACACTGATAGGATTAGCAGCTGTACGCGACTTAGGGGGCGTAGAATCTCTTATCTATTAGACAAGTCCGTCCGTCTGTCTGTCTGTGGTGCTGTTTCAGGTTTTCATGCACATCACTCATTAAATAAAACAAGTTTCAAGAGTATAGTTGCACTGATTTATTTATTTACTAGCAGCCGCCCGCAACTTCGTACGCGTGGAGTTAGTTAGAAATAAAGGTTCACTGCTCGTTCCCCGTAGGTGATAGCGTGATAATATGTAGCCTATATGTTGACCCGACTTGTTAATAATATTCGTGCTAAATTGGAAGTAAATCCATGCAGTAATTTTTGAGTTTATCCCGGACATACATACAGACAAACAGACAAAAATTCTGAAAACTATATTTTTGGCTTCGGTGTCGATTGTAGATCACATCTTTTTTAAAAAAATATTCAATATACAGTTATGTCTTTCCTACCTTTTTATTATATGTATAGATGACGTTTCATAATTCTGACGACGCAGCCTTAAAAGGACGCAAAACGTCATAAATAAATAAATTATACCATCTATACCGTTGAAGAGGAGCTCGATGGCGCAAGAGGTTAGCGCGTTTGGTTGCGATCGTTGAACTTAAGCAACTTTCGCAGTGGTCGGTCATTGGATGGGTGACCAAAAATTACTATCTCGAGCTCCTCCGTGCTTCGGAAGGCACGTTAAGCCGTTGGTCCCGGCTGCATCTGCAGTCGTTAGCACCCACCAATCCGCACTGGGCCCGCGTGGTGGGTCATGGCCCAATCTCCCTATTCCATCCATAGGGAAGGCCTGTGCCCCAGCAGTGGTGGACATTAATAGGCTGATGATGATGATGATGATGATACCGTTGAAACTTGTACTATTTATGGGTACATTTAAATTGTCTGCCTATATAAAAAAATCTACTAAGGAAATAAGGTTGAAAATGTACCTGATATTTCACATCCAACCCTCCCACCGAGAGTCCGACGGTGACTGAAGTGAATTGTGACAATTGTCGCGTTACGGCGTGTACCTGGTCGAAACATTCTCAGTTTTATGTACGGTTTAAGATTACGTGATAAATGCTTCTGAGTTTATATTAAAGCTTTTTGTTTATTTTAAATCTTACCACAGCCTTTTGATTGGAAATTACCAACCAAGCTTTCAACAATAACTCACGGCGTACGGGAAATTCCTCGAATTCCCCGTTCAGTTTCAGTTTGTTTGAAGTATGAATGCAGTTAACAGGGCGCATTTGAAGAACCAAAAGATATTTGTTTACTAGAAAAAAAATCATGCCGACTAGGCAGCAAACGGGATTCAAACCCGCACCCTCCGCTATCCGGGCGGATGCACTGAACATTATGCTACCGTGGCCCTGATGGCCCTGTCGAATTCCTTCTAGTATTTCTTAGGCTGCAAGGCAACGACATCTCTTCGCATTGTAGGTAACCCACAATGTCAAATGAATACCATTAAAAGTATTTAACTTTTGTAAGAAGAAATAGCAATTGTAGTTAAATATATATTTTTCGAGGAGCTCGATGGCGCAAGTGGTTCGGCTGCGATCGTTGAAGTTAAGCAACTTTCGCAGTAGTCGGTCATTGGAAAGGTGACCAAAAATTTACTACCTCGAGCTCCTCCATGCTTCGGAAGGCACGTTAAGCCGTTGGTCCCTGCTGCATCTGCAGTCGATTGCACCCACCAATCCGTACTGGGCCCGCGTGGTGGGTCATAGCCGAATCTCCCTATTCCATCCATGAGGAAGGCCTGTGCCCCAGCAGTGGGGACATTAATAGGCTGGTGATATGTGTGATATATTTTTAGATTTAAACATCTAGCAGTTAAATGCTTAAGAAATAAAATATATAGCATTTGAAGAATGTTTGTTTTTGAAAGCAATATTTGTGACCTCAGACTTAACATACCTTAATAAAACATGGACTTTCAAAGAATATTTACTTGAAAAAAAAATAAGAAAAAGCTGTACTAATTTTTTCCTGATTTTTTTCACTCCTTTTTTTTCATTATACATCGCTAGTCATAGCCCATTTCACCTATTTCATTCATACAGTGGCCGAAAGAAATTGATTGTTAGTAAAACTTTCAATTAAGTATGTATTAAGTGTTTATAAATAAATACCTGAGCGCCCAGTTCCCTAGTAGGCACCAGAACTAACACCTTGGTAAGGCGGTGGCCAGTATTAGCGCGAAACAGTAACCGCTCCAGTATGGGTAGCATATACGCTGCCGTCTTGCCAGTACCCGTAGCGGCACACGCGCAAACATCCTTACCTGAAAAAAAATTCCATGAAGACAAACTTTTCATTCTATCAATCTTTAAAATCTTGCAAATATATCACATTTCTCACCCATCAAGGCTATAGGTATAGTAGCGGCTTGTATAGGCGTTGGATGCACGTAATGCAGAGCACCGATCGCTTTAAGCAGCGGTCGGGACAGATTCATCATGTAGAATGATGCGTTCTCGTCATAAGGCGGAGGCTCCTCGAAGAAATCAGAGTCATATTCCACTCTCGTTCCCTGTTCATTTTCTTCTAATTCCTGAAAAAAATAGACAATGCATGTAGCAATGTATTCCTTCGATACAATATAAATAATAAAAAACTAATGTAATACCCTGTTCCTAAAAACAATTAAAATAAAAATGCAAATAAATGTAACTCATAGTTAGTATTATAAATATTCTTTATCATTCACATTGAAGCTGCGTGTGACATTGTTAATAATGTCTTAATGTTAACAATTTTTTTTCGTATTTTTCGTAAGTGGAATTCTTTGCCTACGCAAGTGTTCCAGCCTTCCTACAATCCGAGGTCCTTTAAAAGAGGCATGAAGAAGCATTTTTGCATTTGCACAGCTTTGCACAGTTTATAACTGCTGTACCAGATATCTTCGCGTTTGGACTTTATCACCACTTAACATCAGGTGGGGTAGAGTCATTTGCCTACCTGGCATATAAAAAAAAAACTTTCCATCCTTTCTTTTTCCAGTTACTAATAAATACTTCAAGTAAAATTGCTACTTCAAATGTTTGTTTTCAGGTGGACTTTATTAGCCAGTCAACTAAATGATAGTCTCACAAAAACATATAACATCATTGTCCACCCACCTGATGTTAAGTGACGGTGAAGTCCAGAATTTGCGGTGATTAAGTAAAAAATATACAAACTTTCACATTTATAACACTGATAGGATTAGCAGCTGTACGCGACTTAGGGGGCGTAGAATCTCTTATCTATTAGACAAGTCCGTCCGTCTGTCTGTCTGTGGTGCTGTTTCAGGTTTTCATGCACATCACTCATTAAATAAAACAAGTTTCAAGAGTATAGTTGCACTGATTTATTTATTTACTAGCAGCCGCCCGCAACTTCGTACGCGTGGAGTTAGTTAGAAATAAAGGTTCACTGCTCGTTCCCCGTAGGTGATAGCGTGATAATATGTAGCCTATATGTTGACCCGACTTGTTAATAATATTCGTGCTAAATTGGAAGTAAATCCATGCAGTAATTTTTGAGTTTATCCCGGACATACATACAGACAAACAGACAAAAATTCTGAAAACTATATTTTTGGCTTCGGTGTCGATTGTAGATCACATCTTTTTTAAAAAAATATTCAATATACAGTTATGTCTTTCCTACCTTTTTATTATATGTATAGATGACGTTTCATAATTCTGACGACGCAGCCTTAAAAGGACGCAAAACGTCATAAATAAATAAATTATACCATCTATACCGTTGAAGAGGAGCTCGATGGCGCAAGAGGTTAGCGCGTTTGGTTGCGATCGTTGAACTTAAGCAACTTTCGCAGTGGTCGGTCATTGGATGGGTGACCAAAAATTACTATCTCGAGCTCCTCCGTGCTTCGGAAGGCACGTTAAGCCGTTGGTCCCGGCTGCATCTGCAGTCGTTAGCACCCACCAATCCGCACTGGGCCCGCGTGGTTGTTCATTTTCTTCTAATTCCTGAAAAAAATAGACAATGCATGTAGCAATGTATTCCTTCGATACAATATAAATAATAAAAAACTAATGTAATACCCTGTTCCTAAAAACAATTAAAATAAAAATGCAAATAAATGTAACTCATAGTTAGTATTATAAATATTCTTTATCATTCACATTGAAGCTGCGTGTGACATTGTTAATAATGTCTTAATGTTAACAATTTTTTTTCGTATTTTTCGTAAGTGGAATTCTTTGCCTACGCAAGTGTTCCAGCCTTCCTACAATCCGAGGTCCTTTAAAAGAGGCATGAAGAAGCATTTTTGCATTTGCACAGCTTTGCACAGTTTATAACTGCTGTACCAGATATCTTCGCGTTTGGACTTTATCACCACTTAACATCAGGTGGGGTAGAGTCATTTGCCTACCTGGCATATAAAAAAAAAACTTTCTATCCTTTCTTTTTCCAGTTACTAATAAATACTTCAAGTAAAATTGCTACTTCAAATGTTTGTTTTCAGGTGGACTTTATTAGCCAGTCAACTAAATGATAGTCTCACAAAAACATATAACATCATTGTCAGTCATATACCTGTTTTAATTTCTGCTTTTTTGTGAGTTTTTTCTCCTTTATTTTAATTTCATCCCTTTTCAGTTCATCATCAGATATTTCCAATTCATCAACCTCACCATCTAAAATCAAGAACCAGAGACATTGATTATTTTTAATATTAAATAGCTGCAATTAATTTAAATAACACAATTGGCTCATTTTAAGTTATTTATTATTTCTTCTGAACTTAAAAAAATGCAATTTATTTAGCATTGCAACAGTTTCATAGTTTTATTCATCATGTTTTTATTATATTACTTACCAGAAATTGTGCTAAAAAAATGTTTCTATAAAGTTAAACTAGTTCCAAGTAAAATATACAAACATAGAATCAAGTGCTTTAAGATATTACAAATGCCGATGAAAGGAATCATAATTGTTATTGTGACTCCACTTTGCAAATTAATAGAAACCAGAAGAAATATGTCAATTGCTTCTGGTTTCTTAGAGATATGATCATGCAGTGTATTTTCCCAGATAGATAAGCATTCTGATTCAATTCAACCAGTACTTTATTTTTGTAAAAAAATTGTGATAAAATTATAAATAAATTACAACTGAACAAGATTCAATTGCCTAGTAAATTAGTTTAGTACTCAATAAAGACTTATGTCTGCCTGCCAGAATACCAGCGCTGTTGTCACTCGCATAGTAACGTGTAGCAACAGCATCATGCTGAGGCAGGGTCCTGATAAACCATTAATTTACTTTTATAGTTTTAAGTTAGTTTTTAATTTTGTTTTTTATGTTAATGTATATGTATTCTTTCATTGTTGTTGTAATACTCGTGTAACAAATGGTTAATATAAAAATCTCTCTCTCTCTTATGTATTTGTTCAAACAAACAAAACAAGCAATAGAAAATATATCATTTATACCTTTGGCATCAACATCAGAGTCTGTATCGACAGCTTCAGCATCACCATTGACTTTGACTTGTGCTCTTCTGCGCTCTATCTTTTCGTCTATTGTCCTTTTCACATTTCTTTTAACATATTTATGTAAGTCATCCCAGGTATTCTGCACATAAACCATGTATCATAACTTAATTGATCATATTGTGTGCGTTGTTTTGTACATATTTGAGTTAGTTTATGGCCCAATACAGTATGCAAGTTCTGTGTAATGGATTTATGTTTTTTTTCCAACACTCACACCTAATTGGTGTGTTGGAAAAAAAGCCTAGCCCCAAAGTAAGCACTATAAGGCTTGTGTTATGGGATACTAGGGTAACGGATAGAATATATGTATAACATATATATAATATACATGGGTATGGTCGCAAAAGATTGTACAAATATCATTTTGGTTTTGTCCCCATTTTATTTTTCTCATAATTTCGAAGTTATTTGATAAATGTCATTTGTTGAACATTGTTCTGAATGACGAGCTTCTGTTTAGATTATTTTGACGAAATGTAACCTACCATCCCTAAAAAATATATGTAAAAAAAATATAATTTAAAAGGTAGTGCTTTCACTCCCATACAAAAATTGTTTGTCCAACTACCACCTTTGTATCAAAAATTGCCAATAATTCCGAAAAAAAATAGTTTTTTCTAATTATTAAATTGTACTCATGCTTTATGATACTTTCTCAATGTGTTTCTAAACGTGCTTATTAAAATAGCGTTTCAGTTACATATTTAATCGTTTTTAAAAAAGTGTCCAATTTTATGATGAGTGTGTAACGTCATGAATGTAACGTTCGTTTCTACCAGTTTCCTTTATGTGATTTGATAATTTTTGCTATTTTCATAAACTGCAACACTATTAAGCAGGATACAACATTCAGAAATAAAAATCGGCCATATTTTTCCGAATAAAAATCGTAATTTGTGTTGACTTCAGATTTGTCGCCAATAAATATTGTTTTTTGTATGTTTAATTGCAAGGTAAGTACTGCTTGTTGTGGTATACTGTTAACGTGTTTAGAAAGATGTATTATCACAGAAAACGGTAACCCTACGTCACAATCCATAGTTGTTTGCAGTTAAATGATATTTGAATTTTAGGTCATGTCGCACGTTTTTTTGTGTCATGAATGTTACAATGTGTAACGAAATGTGTAACGTTACAATCATGACCGATTCTAAGGCGGAGATTACACTATTTTACTTAAAATATAACCTTACCGCGACTTCGTCAGAGTTAACTTTGGTTTTTTGAGAATCCTTTGAATGTTTATATGTTCGTTACTCAATCACGCCAAAACGGCTCAATGGATTTTGATGAAATTTGGCACACATTATATGTGTATACTATATTGAGTAACGAACATACACACTTTCACATATATAATATTAGTAGGATAAAATTAAAAGAAAAGTTTACTAGAAAAAAATCCACGCGGACCAGGCAGCGGACGGGACTCGAACCCGCATCTTTCGCTATCCGGGCGAATGCACTGACCATTATGCTACCACGGCCCTATTAGCCGCGTCGAAATTTTCCTAGCCTTAAGCTGCAAGGCAGCGCCATCTCTTCGCATTGTAGGCAACCCACAATGTTGTTTTTTCTAGTAAACTTTTCTTTAGATTTAAACATCTAGCAGTTAAATGCTTAAAAAATAAATAAAATCATAAGGATAAAATTAGTTAAAAATATATATTCCAGATGCCTTTGACCAATGCCGAAAGGCAAACAAAATATTGTGAAAAGTTACGAACCCAAAATCCTTCGAAGTACGAAGAAATAAAATCAACAAAAGCAGAAAAAATTAAAAAAAGAAAAAAACCACGGAATGTACCGAAGACAATAAAAGATTGAAAAGAAAACAGTGACGAGCCAGTCAAAATCGTCACAGAATGAAGTCAAAAGATACTGCGAAAAATTAATAATATCACTGAAGTGTGCTGAAACTCATGAAAACACATTCTTGGTACGAAAACTACAAAGAAGATTGGCTAACCAAAGAATATTATATGAAGAAAAAATCTAAAGCCAAACGTTAATCAAAAAAATATAATATCACCACCACAGGCCTAGAACTATTTAGTACCAGTAGAACTACTACAATAGGTTCTATTATGAACTAAGCTTTATGATGGTCATGTATGTAACGTTCTGTCATGTACGTAACGTGTGTTACGATGTCATGAATGTTATTTGTACAATTTTTTGCGGCCGTACCCACATATATAATATACAGTATATGTATAATACATTTATATATGAAACCCAGCATACAAACCACTCGGCCATGGAGGTCATCAAATGTAAATTTATAGCAACACTAATAGTTACTTTGTTAGTTAGGATTCTTAAAGGAATAGAAGTTATTTATGTTACTAGAACATGAAATAAAGCAAATATATTATTAAAAAAATTGTTGTAATTTCATATTTACCTTATTGTATTCTTCCACAGAAGACACAAATTGAAACTTTGGGTCGAAGTCAACTTTCCTTTTGATTTTTTGTTTCGAAGGTTGATACTAAAACAGAAATACAACCAAAAATATAAAGTTAAAACCCCTCTTCAATACAACATATCCATATTATGTACACATATCTTCTATTAGAATGTCGAAGATGTAATTATAATAATAAAAATTTATTAAGAATTTAGTTACAATACAGCTAGATAATGTTTAATATAAATATTCTTCGCACTTCTATTTCTTCATCAGATTCCTCGGAGAAATTTTCTACTTCTTCTCCCTCTTCAATGGTTTTTATTAACCCAGGATGTCCCTCTACTTCCATGATAAAAGCAAAGCGGTCTATAGTAGCATATTTCAAATAAAAATAAATATTTAAGAAGTAAACTTCCTGAAACAAACAAAATTTGAGGTTATCTCTATCAAACCAAACGTCAAATTCACATGTTTTCTAGAGTTGTTTTAAATATCACAAAAATAAGACAAAGGGTACAAAAATCATACAGAATCATGGTCTAAAAGTTTTTTTTTACTTATATCAAAGACTTTGGTCAGCAATGTGAATCTGTTTTTATGATTTTTACTCAGTCTATACCAAAGAGTAGTATTTATACTCCGGTCTAACTGGACAAAAATGGTTAAGGTGAGTAAAATTACTCAAAACATAATAAAAAAATGTACTGTTTATATTTATTGTAATACTATATGCCCGTATTCAGAAGGATTTGGAAAATAAGAAAACACGATTAAGGTTAAAGAGTTCTATTGCGACTAAGATTAATATGTACAAATGTGGCAGGCGTATCTGCCGACACACACAAATATACGCAATACATTTAGTATAGGCATGATGTAGGATATAGAATTATGTAAAATAGAATACTCAACAAAATATAATGTCCCTACAGAAAACAGTTCAAAATTCCTCATCGTTCCAGTACGTGGAAAAAAATGTACAAGAAGTCAAAGGTTCAAAAAGTGAGTCCTCGCGATTTTCATGAAAACAGAAAGTTTTATCGTAAAATTGCTTTTGACAAACTTGTAGATCTTAAAATTATTTACATTAAAGGTATCAATATTTTTTTTCTTAAAAGCCACCATTCTTAAGATATAATGATTTAAAAAGTTGAAGCGTCATAATATGCACGTATTTCCACGCCACCTCTAAGGTAGTGCTCTTAGCGAATTTTTTAAAGTGTTTTCCCCAGTAAGCCTATTCCACAGGTCAATTAATGGTATCCGACCAATCAATTGAAACTTCAATTGAATTGGATCTTGAAATCAGCACGTCTTTACGTGTCGTGTCACTGTACGGGTCTGTTTGGTTGTCAAATTGACATTACAAATTATGTCAATTTGTATGGTAGGTATTGGGTTTTGATTGTTCAAGTATATCCGCAGCTATTTCCTACGGTCGGATGAGTATTTATTTAATAAAATATTCAGTGGATAATCTATAGAAATGGCAGATCGTCTTTCCATTCACGATGATATAAAATTGTAAGTACTGTGTTAATTATGTAGCAAGCAATTATGGTATTTAGTATTCATACACACAGATTTTGTTCAAACTTTATACAGATTCCCATGAAACCTAAGGATTAATTGCGATAAGTGAATAATTTTGTATACCTACTTTACATCTGTATACTTTCATATACCTTCTTAAATAAAAATAATTTTCATAAAAAATGCAAGTCTTAGTGTAGGTCATTCAATAAAAATAATAGATAGCTGTTAATAATTTCTTTTATCGTTTTCAATGTGACATATGTTTCTTTACATTCTAGCTAAGAATGATAATTATTATCATAAGCTAAAATAAATAATTAAAGAAACCATTATCTAAATTATTTTGTTTTGTTAATTAAGAATCATTTGCCATATAATTATTCAAAATGATTAGTACTAGTGAATGTAAAAAATAACTTATAATTTGGTGTTGTTTTACTGAACATAGTATACTCGTACATGCATTGTAAATGATAAATTACTAATCAGCTTATTATTCTTTCAGATATATAACATCAGATAAATTTTATTTGGAGCCACACATAAACCCTACTGAGGTTCTTGTTATAGACAGAATAACAGGGGAAACATCTGTTAAAGGTTATTTGTTGAATTATTTATCTTTCATTTTATTCCAATAGTGTCATTTTTGGGACAAAGTAATAGAAATGATGTTTATGTCAAATGGTGTCAATTCTGGCATGATTCTCTAAACTTAAACTTAAATTTGACAGTAGTGTATCTCTGTCATTCTCTGTACGGTGTAAAAAGGAGAGAATGATGTTAAATTTAGTTTTAAGTTAAGAGAATCACACCAGCATCGACACCAATATATACTAGTTTTTTATTATTTAATGAGTGATGTGCGTGAAAACCTAAGAAACAAATACCAATATATACCTTCTTATTCCTAAAGCAGACTAAAGTTAGTCTTTGTTTAAACCTAATGTCTCAGTCTTCTTGTTTGCAAACAAAGGTGAATTGTAGTTCAGGTTTAACTTTAGTCAACAATTTGTAATACTAGTTTAGAAAAAAACATTTATATTGGATATTATCTTATCTTGCCATTGACCATGCATGCTAACCATTTACTTATTCAGTTTCGCACAACATAAGAGTAGTGTTGGTGAAGTAAACTATGTAATAAAACCCATGAGGTCCACAACAAGAACACATCAAACTTGGTCACTATCGATGCATATCAATTATTATAATAATATAAAATCCATTTATTGCTTAGATTTAAGTTTAGAGATGGAACCATAGTCAACTATAGTGTATTCACTTTGGCGTGAGATAAAATGTAAACAAAGAATCTGAAGTTCTAAATCTTTTTATAATGTCAGAAAGTACCCACTAGTCAATGATTACATATAATTTATGTTACCTATAATTTTTATAACAACTTTAAACTTAACAGAAAAAAATAACAACAAACTCAGCAAATAAAAGAAGGAAATTATAAGAATTTAACAAATATGATAGAAGATGCACTCTCGCGTCAATAGGTTGATCGGAGATTAAAGATGGCTAACGTAAACCAACCGATTACAAAACACACACTTCAACATAAAATACTTATATCATGTCTACTCTGTAATTTTATTTACTTGTAATTTTATCATATTATAAATCTTTTTCCATGTCAACTTAAGTTGATAAAATACTTTTATCATCAAAATAAAAATATGCGAAATTATGATGAGAATGTATGTTAAATATGTAGGAAATGTTTTATTTTGACGTGACAACGTCTTAAATTAGGTTGCGGCTGGGAGTCACTTATGAAAAAGTGTAACGCTCGGTAACGTTACGATGAGTCTCTCGTGTTAAGTTTAAGTTTACATGTACAATGGTTTAGTAAACAAAATATATTTCTATAGTTAAAATTTGTGCAATTCTTATTTTCATTCAATTCCTTGTTCCTATTGTGCAATTTAATTATATTCATATCAATAAATATTCTACCGAGAAAAAAACGTTGTCACGTAAAATCTTCGCCCGTAAAACCGACTTTACAGGCAACCATTTTGACGTGACAACGTCTTAAATTAGGTTGCGGCTGGGAGTCACTTATGAAAAAGTGTAACGCTCGGTAACGTTACGATGAGTCTCTCGTGTTAAGTTTAAGTTTACATGTACAATGTTTTAGTAAACAAAATATATTTCTATAGTTAAAATTTGTGCAATTCTTATTTTCATTCAATTCCTTGTTCCTATTGTGCAATTTAATTATATTCATATCAATAAATATTCTACCGAGAAAAAGACGTTGTCACGTAAAATCTTCGCCCGTAAAACCGACTTTACAGGCAACCATTTTCTTTTTCATATGTATGTATGTAGCAGCTTTTAAAATAATTAACTTAATGTTTCTTTGCATTTCCTATGCAAGTAGTATTTAATCCTTACTTTTGTCAAACGTGACCTTAAAAAGTATCCTTTTTATGGTTTGTTTACATTTTGTCTCACACCATGTGAATAGACTACAGTTATGCTTGTTCATAATCATATTTATATTTGTTTTCACTGTCATTGTTTTCATAATTTTGTGTCTGTTATTAATTATTACTCTTATAATGCTAATTCATTATTAAATTAAGTTCACAGTGCTAACCATCGGCAATAATATCTATTCATACAACTTTAATCGAAATGGAACTCTGAAATACATTTTATTTTTAATAGAAGTATTTCTTTTTAGAATATGGCACAGTTAAAATACCCATCCCAGTGAATGCATACAGACCTGTTTGTGGTTTTCTTGGGACCATAAAGTTAATCTCAGGATTATATCTTGTCGTGGCCAAATATAGAATATTAGTGAGTATAATTTTTCTGTACATTACTCTTTTTAAAGCTCAGTTTAGTTGCATTTTGTTGGTAACTCATTGTTACAATATTTACAGGTTGGCAGACTCAACGGTCATGACATATATCAGTTGGCAGGATCCGATATCATTCCATATGTTCGATCCACAACGCATCTCACTAACAAACAGGTCAGTTATTTTTTTAATTGTAACAGGACAGGCCTGGTGTGTATGCTAATAAAAAATGAATATATTGCATTCATGTGGTATTTTTCAACAATAAATATTAGTTACTGTAGCCAGTAATTCAGAAGTTATACTTAGCCATTGTTTCAGGCTACATCTGTTGTCAGTAGAATTAGTGGGTACTATCACTTATACTAATTTTCCTCATTTTATAAACATTGAAATGTCAGCAGGGATAAGTTTATGATGAATTGTGTACAGATTTTTTGAAAATGCTTTTACTACATAAAAATAGTGACCTACATTGCAAAATGAGTTGTTTATCATCATCAGCCTATTAATGTCCCCACTGCTGGGGCACAGGCCTTCCATGTGGATGGAATAGGGAGATTGGGCCATGACCCACCACGCGGGCCCAGTGCGGATTGGCGGGTGCTAACGACTGCAGATGCGACCGGGACCAACGGCTTAACGTGCCTTCCGAAGCACGGAGGAACTCGAGATAGAAGATTTTTGGTTACCCATCCAATGACCGACTTCTGCGAAAGTTAAATATCATTAATATTTTTCCCTTGTCCCGTATTGATATAAAAACTTTATTTTAAATATACTTCCATATGTCCATACAATCGGTTTTAGATTGAAGACAACAGTACGTATGAGAAAATGGTGCGAGCAGCGCTGGAGTCGCCTGGAATGTACTTCTCATACAGCTATGACTTGACACACACTCTGCAGAGGTTGCATTCAGTCGCACCGGATTTCCACATGGTAATACATCTAGTTCGGATAAAATGGATGATGACTGGATAAAGTAAACGTAATTCTATTTAATTAGTTACATTATCAACAAATAACGGACACTTATTTCTTTTGTCAATCAACCAAGAAATCACAAAGATGAAAAAAAAAAGTCAAAGTTTGCTTGTTTGTTATGACACTTTTAAGTAAAAACTTTGGTACAACAAGACGTGATGTCATGCGTTGTTAATAATGAAATTAATATATCTCTGTAATGTTTTGGTTACATAAATAATGTGGCCACTATTCCTAGACGAACAAAGAAATTTGGTGACTCATTTCTTTGTCGTACTATTCGTAAGTGGAATTCTTTGTCCGCGCACGTGTTCCCTCCTTCCTACAATCTGGGGTACTTTAAGAGAGGCGTGAAGAAGCATTTTTGCAGGCCGGCAAAGTGAGGATGGTTGGTGTAGCAGTTTATAACTGTTGTACCAGCTATCTTCGCGTTTGGACTTTATCACCACTTAACATCAGGTGGGGTAGAGTCATTAGCCTACCTGGCTATAATATAAAATAATAATTATAAGGAATAAATATAAAAATCAATTGCTGTTCGTTAGTCTCGCTAAAACTCGATTTATCTTATCTTGGTCTTGAAATGTTCGTGGAGGTCTAGGGAAGGTTTAAAAGGTGACACGGTCTACACCGAAGCGAAGTGAGGGCGGGCCACTAGTAAGGAATAAATATATCGTGTGTCCGATGCTTTTATCTGTTAAATGATGATATATTAAGATAATATATCTGATAGACGAAAAAAAAAAGTTAGTGATCATCCCTATTTGGAGATTTTCGGAGAAGACAAGGGGCAGTGGCGTAGGCGATCAAATTATCCCTAAATAGCACAATCATGTTTTCAGATGTCGATCACAGCGCGCGCAGACCAGCGGTTCCTATGGAACGGACATCTATTGAAAGATTTTTCGCAGCAGCAATACGCTAGATTTGCCTTGCCCATCATACAAGGATGTATCCTTTTCATAATATGAACATAAGTATGACTCGTGTCATCGAAAATGCCGACGCAAGACATTCTGTCATTCGCGCACGTGACATATGATAGCGAGTGGGAGAGTGACAAAATGTAAGTGAGTCACGAGTTATAACGTTTTGCTATCATCATCATCATCATCAGCCTATTAATGTCCCCACTGCTGGGGCACAGGCCTTCCCTATGGATGGAATAGGGAGTTTGGGCCATGACCCACCACGCGGGCCCAGTGCGGATTGGTGGGTGCTAACGACTGTAAATGCAGCCGGGACCAACGGCTTAACGTGCCTTCCGAAGCACGGAGGAGCTCGAGATAGTAAATTTTTGGTCACCCATCCAATGACCGACCACTGCGAAAGTTGCTTAACTTCAACGATCGCAGCCGAACGCGCTAGCCACCTGCGCCATCGAGCTCCCCGTTTTGCTATAATTTCATATTAAAAATAAAAGATTATAAAATCTTCTTTTTTTGTTCCATCCAAAAGGCAAGCAAAGGAATCAGTCTAGAAGCCTTGTTAAGCCACAGAGAATAAAAAAAAAACGCATCGACTAGCTAAAACGATCTATGGTAAAGGAAATGAGTGAGACAACCTAAACAGAAACCGTCTATCTTTCTCTTCGACGTTTTAAACACTTTACAATAAGTGAATTAATTAAACAGTTTTATTAAATACTGCTTGTTATGTATGCTTTGGAACATCAGATCAAATTATCCATAACTGAAAATTTACTCCAACTTACTTTGAGGATTATATTAACATTATGTAAGAATCAAAATCTATTGAAAAAAAATTGACAATAGGGTATTTGACACTGTTAAAAATAAAGTGCCAATTGTTAGCATCTGTGTTCAGAATGAATATTGGCAGGGGTTTTTACTATTTTTACAAAAAAAAATCATGATTTTACTAAAAACTAACGAAAAAGATAATAGTTTTCTTATCTATTGTCACGTGACCCAAAACGCTTGGGATTGGCGGTGCCCTAAATGACGTCACACGCAAGTAAACTTTCGGTTAAAGTGACATTACATTGTATCGTTTGACGTTTTCATAACAGTCGTGTGACGTAACACACTAGTAAAACGCCATATTGTCCAGAGAAACGTTTTCGCGGCAACTTGAAAATGGAGTTTATGATTTGGTTATTGTTACTTAAATACACAACAGAATGATGAATATCAATAACGTGAGATAGTTTTCTAAAACTTGTCAAATACCCTATTGTGATACTTAGATTTAAATTATTAAACAAACTAGCAAACCAGTGAACCAAATGTACACCAAAACCTGATTTCTCGAAAACCGGAAGTGCTACGTTACTCAAATCCGGTTTGTAGTCTTCTCAGACTATTCTTAACTTATAACTTAAATATTCTCTTTATCTATCTCTTACGGTTTGGCCGCTGAAACAGCACCACAGACAGACGGACGGACTTGTCTAATAGATAAGAGATGACTGCGATCTCGAGCTGGCAATCATGTCTAAAAGGGGTAAAACCTTACAAATACGGTAGAAAAGCACTACAGCGCCCTCCAATCTAAATCCCATTCTCTTTCCGCACAGACTCTTTTAACGTTTTCCATTGTTCTGTACAAACTATTTAATTGAAAATAAAGATTTTTATTATTATTATTATTTTTATACATTTTCTTAACCTGCATCCATACAGTCGTTTCCATAAACCACGTGAGCATCAACGGGCACCAACTCACGTGGTCTCTGGTATCGCGTCGCTGCGTACACCGCGCCGGTACTAGGTTCTTTATGAGAGGCGTCGATTCACAGGTAATTTTTATATGCTAATTGGGTTATTTAGAAAAGGACATTGGGCAAAAATGTATGGACGCTGCACCCACGTCCGCCACGGCTTAAACTACATTTGTTTGAAAGGTATTATAGTCAAGATCATATGTGCCAAAGTGCATCAAATTCCATCCCGGGGGTCTTTAGTTATTTTAAGGTTAATATGTAGAAGTACTATAACGAACGAACATTAATGAAACAAGGGAATTAATTTAGTTAGTTAGTTCGACCCTACATAGGCTGCTCAGGAATTATGGGAGTACTTCACAAGATGCAGGGGTGCCCCCTTATGTTATTCTGCCGCGCTATAGTAAATTTAAAAATCCCCGATTTTTTTAAACATTCTGTTCGTTATAGTAAATTGTCTTTTAAGTAAAACGGAGCGACTACAGATTACACAAACTTGTCCACGTTTCGGAGAACACATAATAGAATTATGTGAATTATGTTTATCCATACTAACTGACAAAACCGATAATCGTGTTCCAATATCCAAAGCGTGTTAGATAAAAATCAATCAAGTAGCAGGGAGCGCACAATCACAACGAAGTAAGACGAGTCGACTATTTGCAACTGCAAGTCCTTCAGGATTCGTAAACCGTTTTGAAATGTCTCAGTAAGAGCAAGCGCAGGATGGTCGGCAGGCTTTGTCGTATATCTGGTTGTATAGTACGATATGGCATATTATTATGATTACTAATAATATAAAATGAAGGTATTATAAAATGAATTTATTCAGCTACTTAAATATGCCCATATGTATGTCATTGACTACCAGGATATTTTTTACGGTGTCATATCTTTTAACTCCCAGGATATTTATTTTCGGTATCATAATAAAAAAGGCTAGTTTTTCATAGATCTATCGATTCATACTAATTACATTGTTGGCGGAGCTGGGTGCGTTTTGCCCATTGTCCTTTCTAGTTTTTTTTTAGTATCAAGTTCTGAATAATATTGATATGTAGTGAAAGATATATTTATGAACTCTCGTTATATTTTAGTGTTGAAAAAGACAAATAGGTTTTTTCGTTTTCCAGTGATTTTTTGTTTTAAATCATATAATTCATTTGCTAAAAATATGTGGTAAAATGTTTGATCACTTTTTTCATATTTCTCTGTCCTTTATTTTTTTTTATAAAATTCTACAGTTTAATTATGTTCTCAGTAAACATGCACATTAATGGTCATTTCAGCTAGGTTGGAACTAGCAACTTACCGATTTGGAATAAGCAATTTTATAAATTAATAAGTGTAGGCATACATTTTCTGCGAATGTAACAGTATACAGTTACTATATCAGTACGGTTTTTTTCTTTAGTTTTTCCAAACTTTGAAAGATGTTACACCTAAAAGGGGGATGACAATATGATTCTAAAGAAGTCATATAACATATATTCTTCAAGCCATTTTTTTATATGCCTACCCCAGGGTAACGTAGCTTCGTGGAGACAGAACAGACAATAAAAGGAGGTGGTGTTTGTTTAAATTAAATCTAACGCGAGCGAAGCCGCAGGTAAAAGCTAGTATAATTTAAAACGGTTAAACAATACACTCAGTTGATATGAACGTTATTGGTCCTTCGAGCCGTAATAGAACAAACAATTTATGGATTTCATAATCATCATCAGCCGATGGATGTTTACTGCTGGACATAGGCCTCTTCAAAGGATTTTCGTATGGAACAATCCTGCGCTCTCCGTATTTAGTGAGTCCCCCCGACTCGCTTGGTGCAAAACCTTTTTTTCTGTTTTTCCAATCTTAGAAAGATTTAACACCTAGTAGGGCATGAAACGACCTCCGTGGTCGAGTGGTTTGTACGCCGGGTTTCATGGTGTCGCCGACACGAAAGGTACCAGGTTCGGATTCCGGTGGGGGCAGATTTTTGTGTGATGAATACGAGCAATTGTACTCCAGTCATGGGTGTTTAATATGTATTTAAATAAAATATACTTATATATGTACGGTATATGTATTCTATCCGTTAACCTAGTATAATACAAGCCTTAAAGTGCTTACTTTGGGTCTAGGCTAATTGGTGTGAGTGTTGGAAATATTTATTTATTTATTTTATTTAAACTAGAATTCTAAAGAAGTCATTTAACATCTGTCTCCAGGGCAACGTTGCCAACTTCGTAGAAACGGAGCAGATAATAGAGCGGGGCGGTGAGAAGTCCTCGTTCGTTCAGACTCGTGGCTCCATACCTCTATACTGGAGTCAGTACCCCAGCCTCAAGTATAAGCCGCCGGTAGACCTGGCTCATGAGGACCACGTCGCGGCCTACACTAAGCATTTGAGGGATCAGCAGTTGCGGTACGGCAGCCAAGTGCTCGTCAATTTGGTGAGTGAATCTTTTAGGTTTTTGTTTTTTTTATCATCATCATCAGCCTATTAATGTCCACACTGCTGGGGCACTAGCCTTCCCTATGGATGGAATAGGGAGATTGGGCCATGACCCACCACGCGGGCCCGGTGCAGATTGGTGGGTGCTAACGACTGCAGATGCAGCCGGGACTAACGGCTTAACGTGCCTTCCGAAGCACGGAGGACCTCGAGATAGTAATTTTTGGTCACCCATCCAATGACCGACCACTGCGAAAGTTGCTTAAGTTCAACGATCGCAGCCGAACGCGCTAACCACTGCGTGTTTTGAATTATCATGTTCTTCTTGATTTCTTCTGTGTAATGGTTTGAACATGCATTAGGGGGACCAAACCGTTACATTAGATTTGATAAACCACAGACCCATGCAACTGAACAACGATTCATTCCTAGAATGATACGCGGGGATATTGAGATTAAAAAATATCCAAATTTTGTTGGTATATACCACCAGCTTGGGAACCCATTATACAACAGATACAATCCCAACCCCGAGCACACACTGCAAGACCAACAGATACTATTAGTTCTTTTTGTTTGCATGATTTAACATAAGAAGGAGATAGAAAGCCTCTCTGGAGTTTGTTTCGCCGGTTCTTCTCAGAAAGGTCCCCCAATTTTGGAACCGATGTAGTTTACGGTAATTAGGGTCAAATAAATAACTTAAAATAAAATAAAAAAGTATTTTAAACAAGGTACAAAGTAAGTCAGAAACTCGATTTGAAACTTTCGTTTACATAAAGGATGCATGTTCGAATGTGACCTAGTAATAGTGCATGATTATCCATAACCACTCCGGCGGTAATGCAGAGATGAGCGAAATTGAAGAGCTTAATTCTGATTAATGTTTTTTCTCACACAGTCTTAATAAATAAATCTTATTATAAATCGGTTGTTTTCTTTTCTCAATCTCAGTAAATAAATTTTATTAAAAATATCGGATGTTATTTCTCACTTAATCTTAGTAAATAAGTATTATTAAATAAAAACTTTTTTTTGCTCCCTACCTATTTCGTTTGAATTGACAGCTATGACGTCACAATATGGCGCCCAGTCAGTCCTATTCTTAGTTGAATCGCATTATACGTACTTTTCAATCCACTCAGCCATGGTGGTCGTCGTAATAAATAAAGGCTTATGTTAAATGATCTAATTTTGACCCCCACGACAACGGCTAACTAGAGCCGAGGTCGGAGTCTCAGAGACGCCCTCTAGTGGAGCCGACCCTCTCAGGTGCTCGTGGTCTAGAGGCTCCAGACGGAGAGGAGACTCCCCCCGTGGGGAGATGCCATCCGCTTGGAATACCTCTAGAGACACTCGCCAATTCTCGGCTTGAGGTCCCCTTAGGATCTCGCCGTCCCCAAACCCGGTGACGCTGTAAAGGTCATCTGCGACCAACAGCATACACACTCAAAAAAAAACTAATTTTGATTTGATTTTTTTGTTTTCTGGTATACAGATTGACCAGCAAGGTAAAGAGCAAGCTCTAGAGCGCGGCTATCGGGCAGCAGTAGCGGCTGCAGCTCTACCCGGCGTTAGATACGAGCCATTCGACTTCCATAGTGAATGCCGAGGCATGAGGTACCATAGACTCAACGTGCTCATCGACAGGATTACACACGAACAGGTGGGTGGTACCAAATGTTTGGAACAGAATGAGGGTTACATTATAGTGAGAAAACTCATTTGTTTTCATTTTCTCTACAAGGTTGTGGAGAATGTTTTTTAGAGATCAGTTTGTTGTGAAATTAGAAAGTATGGTAATTTTGAGATAGGTCACTTTCATTATGAGGGTATGTAAAAATTATGGTAAAGTCATACCTTTTGTGAAAAAGGTGAATGTTTTTCTTAAAAATAATAATTTTATTTCCAATAAGTTGTTACATCATGTCAATTTTCTTTCGGAAATAATTTTAATTGTCAATAATTGTTATAGTAAAGTTTAATGTAAAAATTGACGAAAGAGCGAGTATCCCCTAATACACGTATAATACTTAAAGGGAATACTCAACAACATATTTATATAGAACTTGTAAGCATTAAAGATTTTTTCATTTTCATTTTCATCATGAACACAGTAATTAATTGAATTCTACAAAATTTCTAATAAAGTTTTTCGTACACATAGGATGGACTAAATCGTATCTCGTTTAGTTTACCCTGATAACATCCCTATTGCGAAATCAGTATAATGTTTCTATTTCTTTATCAAGATTTAGCTAGAAGTATTGTAATATCTTATTTACACCCAGACGGAGTTCGGTTACTTCATGTCTCGCGGTGGGACGGTACTCTTGCGTCAGAGCGGAGTGTTCCGCACCAACTGCATCGACTGCCTCGACCGCACTAACGTCGTGCAGTCACTGCTGGCCAAACTGCAACTGACTGCGGCGTTACGACTGCTAGACATCGCTCCGGAACCGCACTCACACTTCAACGAACTGTTCAATACGGTGAGATGTTTTTATTTTACTTTGTTTATTTAGGAAACAACAGTACAATAAAATTTTGATAACAATCCAGTTGACTTAAATAACTAATTGAAAACAAACAATCACACACCGTTATCCTGAAATTATGCAAAATTCAGAGATGTTCATAAAAAACAAAAATGGTTAAATTATTGCAGAAAAAACAAAAAAATAATCTTCTTGAGATAATAAAATAAGCAATTAAATACATCATTAAATGCAACATAAACATAATTGAGGGCATCAAAAACAGCAATAAATGAAACCACGACTTCTCAAAATAAGTAAGTAGTCAACTATATGGATTTGGATGCGTGTTGACTGTCATAGTGACTTTGTGCCGTGCAGTCACTGCTAGCTAAACCGCAGCTGACTGTGACTTTGTGTCGTGCAGTCACTGCTAGCTAAACTACAGCTGACTGTGACCTTGTGTCGTGCAGTCACTGCTAGCTAAATTACAGCTGACTGTGACTTTGTGTCGTACAGACACTGCTAGATAAATTACAGCTGACTGTGACTTTGTGTCGTGCAGTCACTGCTAGTTAAACTGCAGCTGACTGACTTTGTGTCATACAGTTAAAATGCAGTTGACTTTGGCGTTACGATTGCTGGATATAGCTCCATAACCGCATTCGCACTTCAACGAACTCTTCAATACGATAAGCTGACTGTTATAATGACTGTGTATTCACTACTCGCACAAGTTTGCTTTGCTGCAGTCAGTGTAACTGACAAACTGTGTCAGCATCGTCAAAATAATGACGACGCATGTCATTATTCTGACGACGCATTCCTGCAAAGGATGCGAAATTTCTTCGCGTCTGGACTTCACCTTCACTTAACATCAGGTGGGGTGGAGTCATTTGTCGGACCTAACTATAAAAAAAAAAAAAAAAACGTCAATAAATAAATAAATTCAGCGCATATAACCCGTTAAAACTTGTTATTTAAAAATAAGTAAGTTTAATACTTTTGGAGAAATCAGAGTTCCAAGGTACCAAATGGCCCGGTTCTTTTGCAGTCCAGTGTATCATCATCAGCCTATTAATGTCCCCACTGCTGGGGCACAGACCTTCCCTATGGATGGAATAGGGAGATTGGGCCATGACCCACCACGCGGGCCCAGTGCGGATCGGTGGGTGCTAACGACTGCAAATGCAGCCGGGACCAACGGCTTAACGTGCCTTCCGAAGCACGGAGGAGCTCAAGATAGTAAATTTTTGGTCACCCATCCAATGACCGACCACTGCGAAAGTTGCTTAACTTCAACGATCGCAGCCGAACGCGCTAGCCACCTGCTCCGTCGAGCTCCTCAGTTCAGTTTATATTATTAGATTATTACTGTTAATTATTTCTTTAAGGTTGAGGGTATTTACCACAGGTTTGGGCAGATCACGCAGACATGATATCCGTCCAATACTCGGGCACGGGGGCTCTGAAGACAGACTTCACTCGCACCGGGAAACGAACGCATCTGGGACTCCTCAGGGACGGCGTTAATTCCCTCACTAGATATTACAAGAATAACTTCAGCGATGGATTCAGACAGGTAACTGTAAACATAAATTACAATTATAATTGCTGTTTCTTCTTTTAAATGTTTAATACTTGTAAAGGTATTCATTTGACATTACCTACAATGCGAAGAGATGCCGCTGTCTTGCAACCTAAGAGAGGCTAGAGAAAATTCGACACGGCCATCAGGGCCGCGGTAGCATAATGGTCAGTGCATTCGCCCGGATAGCGAAGGGTGCGGGTTCGAGTCCCGTCCTCTGCCTCGTGGATTTTTTTCTAGTAAAACTCTATTTAAATTTAAAAAAATAGTTCGCAATTTATTGTGACTCGACTTTAATATAATTTTTGAAATTTTCTTCTACAACCCTGTGCGTGATGGCTGTACTGTAAAGTATTTAATTCAATTTCATGTACCTACTTGAGTTTTTTTATGGTTTTGTTATTTTGTATTTATGAAGACTGTTTTTATTTTTTTGAGAATCTATTTAAAAATATATATAAGAAGGGAGGGATGAAAGAATATTTTTAGCCAGTATTATATTTACAATTTTCAGCACCTCTACGATACCAAAACACAGTAAATAGCTGACGAGCTTACTCTACCGCAGAAGTGGCCCATAACACTTTTAATATTTTGCCTAGTTAGCAACTTAGGAACACTCTATCCCATTGCTTCAATAGAAGATATCTATATGCTGATACTCATAAGAATATTCCCTCCACCCAGGACTCGATAGACCTGTTCCTGGGTAAATACGTGGTGGTGGATGGTGAGGGCAACACTTTGGCGTGCCCGCTGCGGAGGGACCGCGACTGGAAATATATTACGGTAAGTCAGATGAAGGGAGCAGTTTTGCCAGGTCAGATTTTCAAAAATCGGGAGGCGCTACAGGAAAACAACAGTAGATGTATGGAAAGAGCTGCAAAAAGAAATCGTAAGAGCCGCCATACATCATCATCATCATCATCAGCCTATTAATGTCCCCACTGCTGGGGCACAGGCCTTCCCTATGGATGGAATAGGGAGATGGGGCCATGACCCACCACGCAGGCCCAGTGCGGGTTGGTGGGTGCTAACGACTGCAGATGCAGCCGAGACCAACGGCTTAACGTGCCTTCCGAAGCACGGAGGAGCTCGAGATAGTTAATTTTCGGTCACCCATCTAATGACCGACCACTGCGAAAGTTGCTTAAATTCAACGATCGCTGCGGAACGCGCTAACCACTTGCGCCATCGAGCTCCTCGCCATACACACTACGATAAATCGTTACGATTAGACTGTACAGTCCGAACGGTACCGTTAAATCGTAGCGTGTATGTTATAAAACTGCACAGTTTCCTATACCAAACGAAATCGTATAAACTGTACCGTTCGAACTGTACAGTCTGATCGTAACGATTTCTCGTAGTGTGTATGGCCGTTATAAATGTAGGGGCGTATTTTATTTTTACGTAGTTCTCAGTCTCGCGCGGACCGTCGAAAAGTCAACATGCCTCGGAGCTCCGTGAAGAAATGGGGAAAAAATACTTATAGTACTTCAATGTATGTTAATTGAACGCATTTGACGCAAATTTTGTTTTATTTTGTACATCAGTTCATATTTGTGATATTCAAATGCGTGCTCGGTATATAGCCGTCTTTTTTCCTCGAAGTCCGTATCTGCTATATTGCTAACAGCGCAAAGCTCATAACTCTTAGACGCATGCGTTTTAATTAAGACCTTATACAGTATGCATTAAAGGTGACTTTCAATGCTAAAAATTGCCTTATATTGTTTTTGACTCCGCGATCATCTTACGAAGCTCCGTGAATCGTCCAATGTACCTTTTGGTCAGGTTTCGGCCATGATTTTGTTCGTGTTGTTGTATCTAGGGTATTTAATATCGTTGACATTCACACACAAAGGGGGCCGGGCTGGTAGTGGCAGTGTCTTCAATTGAAACTGCTGCAAAATTTTTGTGTGATTAAAAATATCCGGCCATAATGGTCATTATAGTTTTTATCACATTCAGTAGAACCCGTTTAAAACGATCACGCTTAATACTATTTCTCGCCTAATACGCCATTTTGCGTCAGTCCCTGCAACTTGAGACATGTTTTCATACATTTCTTAACGCTTAATACGATTCATCATCCCGTTTAATACGCCTAAATGGCCAACACGTACCACACATATCTCTAGCGCCAGCATAAAATTCAATGAGAATGTGAATAACACACAAGAAGAGGCCCTAAGTGATAATGATCATGAAGTAGATGCGTCAACGCCGATTTTGTCACATGCCCAGGCATTATAAGCAGTTAATGATTTAAGACACTCTGTAACTTCTTTGAATCAAAATGAAGACGCACAGCAAAAGTTAAAGTATGTTGAAAATCTTGTACTTGCTAATGCCTCAAAATCTTTTTGACAAACTAAAATATGTGATTAATTTAAATAACGTAATAATAAATAGTAATACACTACATTTTTATATAATACATAATTCTTAAATATTATATATTTAATACCTCAATACCTACATTCGGAATTTCCATATCCCTCAATCCCGCATAATACGCTTTCCCGCTTAAGACACGTTTTTGGTCGAGTCCTTGTGAAATCGTCTTAAACGGGTTTTACTGTATATCAATAAACATGTATGCGTACGTACACGTTCAATTGTGTTTTCATTGAGGTCCATGACATATAGTCCAGTCAAGTTATTTATAAATAAACTCACGTTTCGCTTATAAGAAAATAAGTGTAATACGACGATCGTATACGGCCTGCCAAACTCCTTGAGCGTCGACCATAGACAAGAAAGCCTGCGCAGTACCAATTTTGTTTAAGAAGAGTGCGTTTACAATAGTTAGTGGCAGGAGTTAATAGGAGATTAAGTAAATCAATGCTTGTGCCACAGTGCCAGGTGACTCCGCTCCCTTCATTACATATTCACATTTTATGTAAATTTAACAAATATACAAGCTGACCCAGCGAACTTCGTACCGCCCTAAAAATAGAGGCTGGAGGTAGAAGGGTGAAAATTTAGGGTTGTATGTATTTTTGTATGATGTATCATAAAAAAATTAAAACAAACAATTTTGTCCAAAAAAAAATTAAGGGGTGGACCACCCTTAATATTTAGGGGGATGAAAAATAGATGTTGTCCGATTCTCAGACTTACTGAATATGCATATAAAATTGCGGTCGAGCCGTTTCAGAGAAGTATGGTAACTAACATTGTGACACAAGAATTTTATATATTTTTAATTGTACTTATTAAATTTGACAACAGTGCATCCTAGTCATTCTCTATACAGAATGGAAAGGTGACACTAATGCTAAACTTAGTTTTAACTTAATACAATCGTGCCAGAATCGACACCATTATTAACACTAGTACCTTTCCACAGTTCCCATCGGTACTTCTAGTGGCAGTATCAATGTTCTGCGCCAGCGCAACTCTACCACAACGATACAGCAGCGAAGTTTTACTCTACCTCATGTTCTGGGGCGCCTGCGTCACTGCCACTCTGTCATTCATCTACCGGTAACTGATAATTATTATCATCTGTCATCAAAATCGAAATCAAAAATCATTTATTCAGTCTAGGCTGTTACAAGCACTTGTGAAGGTCAAGAAGCTACGCCATCGGTTCGCAAAACTACGGCGGGAGACCTTAACAAGTTGTGGTCTATAAGTGGTAAAAAAAATCATTATTATCAGCCTATTAATGTCCCCACTGCTGGGGCACAGACCTCCATAGGGAGGATGGAATAGGGAGATTAGGCCAAGACCCACCACGACGTGCTAACGACTGCAGATGCAGCCGGGGCCAACGGCTTAACGTGCCTTCCGAAGCACGGAGGAGCGAGAGATAGTAAATTTTTGGTCACCCATCCAATGACTGACCACTGCGAAAGTTGCTTAACTTCAGCGATTGCAGCCGAACGCGCCAACCACTTGAGCTATCGAGCTCCTCAAAAAAATATTGGTCTCTATTTAGTAACGACTACCTATGTAGCTGGGATTAACCTAACGACTCAGAAAGCAGTGCGCGCGCACATTTTCATTCTCACTTTCTCTTACGCTAGTAAATGAAATATATATATTTACATACATGTATATATTGTACAAACATAAATATATACTAGCTGACCCAGCGAACTTCGTACCGCGATAAAAAAATAGGGGTTGGTGGTAGAAAGTTGAAAATTTAGGGATGTATGTATTTTTGTATGATGTATCATAAAAATATAAAATGAAAAATTTTGTCCAAAAAAAATTTTAAGAGTGAACCACCCTTAACATTTAGGGGGATGAAAAATAGATGTTGTCCGATTCTCAGACCTACTGAAAATGCATATAAAATTTCACGAAAATCGGTCGAGCCGTTTCGGAGGAGTTTAACCACAAACACCGCGACACGAGAATTTTATATATCTTTATATATATAATTCTTCTGTGAGTGTGTATGTCACTGAACTTCTCTTAAAAGACTGGACCGATTTTGATGAAATTTTTTGTGTGTGTTCAAGGGGATCTGAGAATGGTTTAGATTCACAATTTTGTCCGCTGGACAACCCCTATTTTTTAGGGCGGTACGAAGTTCGCTGGGTCAGCTAGTTAGATATATACAAATGGAGCTAAAGAAGTTTCACTTCAGTCGTGTGGTTATAAGCACACTCGTTTTTTTATGTCGAAATGGTGGCAAACTAGCAAATGGCCTGCTTGGTGGTAAGCGGCCACTATAACCTTTAGACGCTTGCGATACCAAAACAATTCACTCCCGCTGTTGCCTACGTTGACCCCAATGTCAGGGGATGGCTCCCCTACCCCGTGGAACCTAAGGAAGCGAAAAATTGTATTGTTAAATATATATGTATTTTTTTTATGTAAGAACTTTTCTCACGTAGTAACTCTCAACTAATATGGTAAGTAACTTGTGGTTAACGGTGTTGGTTTTGCAATTATAAAAACTTGGTGTTATTATATTTCATAAAAACTGTTTGTTGACCTTAATAAACTGAAAAAAAGAACCTTACTCACAGACAGAAACACAACACCACCAAATGTAGCGTTATTTTACTGTGCTCTTCTGTAACCCAGGCTAATAGGGGTGATGACGGGGTACAGTAAACGAAATTCTATTTAGTCCGTCAGTTAGATGATCAAAAAATAATGGACACGTATTTTTTCTTTGGGCAATCGACCAAAAAATTACAAAGTTATAGCGCGTCAAAGTTTGGGAGTAGGGGCTCGTGACGTCACTTTTTCGTGAATTTTCACATATAAGTCTACTCAAACGTGACGTCATGCGACTTTTCAAATCAATATATCTCTGCAATGTTTATATTATGTGAAAAAAGAAAAAAATCCGTGTTCAATACTTTTTGATATTCTACCTGATAAACGAAGAAAAAAATATAGTCATCATCTCTATTGGTGTGAGTGTTGGAAATATTTATCTTTATATATATAATTCTTCTGTGTGTGTGTATGTCACTGAACTTCTCTTAAACGACTGGACCGATTTTGATGAAATTTTTTGTGTGTGTTCAAGGGGATCTGAGAATGGTTTAGATTCATAATTTTGTCTGCTGGACAACCCCTATTTTTTTAGGGCGGTACGAAGTTCGCTGGGTCAGCTAGTTAATTTATATTTTCCTACCATCAGGCACGGTAAAGAGTTCGTAGACTGGCCGCGTTTGGACGCGGGCGGTTTAGCCGCGTCCCGCTCGTGGCCGCCGCAGCACTTATGATCCGCGACCTGCCGCTCGTAGTCATCGTCTGAGCCCGTCCCGCTCGCACGTATAGCGCCCTCTCCCTCTCCCTCGCGCACAAGCCAACTGGTCGACGTCGTTGTACAATCGTATTAGGTAGCCGCGGAAAGATTTCGCGTCAAATCGAAAACTTCCACCTTTTTAAATTCGGTTATAATATAACCTGGCCAACTTAGGGGGGCATTCCAGTATTACGTAACGTAAATTTTGAAGATTTTTGACCCCCTTTCCCCAATGTAACGTGCCATAACGATTTATAATTAATATTTAACGTTACGTAACACCAAACTGACCATTTTTTACCCAAAAGTCACATTTATAATGCGCGAACTGCCGGAAAGTCGCTAAATTACTTTTGTTATTGTTGTAGTCGTGTTTTCGGTAGTAATTAATAATTAAAACAATAGATTTCCAATTCGCAATACTGATTTTAATACCCAATTGTTTATTATTTAAATAAAAAACAATGTTACGTAAAGCGTTGATCGAACCCCCCTCCCGCCTCTGTAACGCATTGTAATGTTTTACAAGACCCCCTCTCCCCCCGAACTGCGTTGCGTAATACTTAAACGCCTCCTTAGATGTTACTTACTATTATAAAGAAACGTTATTACCTAGACGCAATTAGTCATTGACTGACAGATGAAAGCTAATACTATTGGCTTAAATTCATTTCCTTAATTGTGATTGGTTGTATCAAAAATCGCGTGTCTTTTTTCGTTACATTGTAACTATGGATGTGTCAGTGACATTTAATCGCCTTAGTACACAGCCTTTGAGCCAACTCTTTCAGTTATTGTATTATTTTGATGGGCTAATATAATACTTTTGTTATGTTCAAGTTTTTTCTGAGGTTTGATTTTTTATGGTTTTCGTTTATATTAATTATTTTCGATAAATGTATTAAGAAAAATCAAACTATACATCATTATTGTGATGAAACTTAGTTTTGTGATCTTTCAAAAATACCATTAAGCATTAAAAAAAGTATCAAAACGTAATTGCATTGCAATGACCTCTCAATATTTATTAATACTTTGAAGAAACAAGAAAATTGTTGCTAAACAATGCCTTTGTACATCGACGTTTATCTAGTCCCTTCCCTAGCAAAATAAGGGCCGGCGCACATTGACGAGTTTTAATTTAATTTTCATCATCAAATACTTTTAACGAATAACGTAGTTAACTAAATATGATTATAGAAAAATGTCTATATGCGCCGTGTCCTCTGCTCTTACATATAGTTTCCCTTACGTCCATTTCACATAAAACTTATCCCCGCTTGACTGAAACTTGCAGAAACTTTCAAAAGTTCAAATTACAGAAAAGTAAGTGAAATTGAACATATTTTTTATAATTAAGAGCTTTGTAGTAAGCGCCACTTAAACTGTATACAACCATGATATAGATAATTAGTAAAAATTCTTGTTAAATTCGTTAAAACGATATAGATTCATTTATTGAAACTTTCGTAATACAACTACAGTTAAAACCGAATATAACGACACCGTTTATAACGACTCGTCGGTTATTACGACCCATTGGCAAGGTCCCGGCCGAAGCCCTATATAAATCCATAAGTAAACAAACCGCCTATAACAACACCGGATAAAGCGAAATACCGCTTAAAACGGCTTATAGTCGAAGAATATTGATAATAAAAACTTTTTTACTTCTCTTTTCGATATTTTAATTGAAAACAAGCTTATATTCATTATCTGTAGCCATGCTACATACATACATGACAATAATATGAGTACTTGTGGGCTTATAACAACTATCGGGCATAACGTCCGAAGTTATATGGTCCCTTCAATGTCGTTATATCGGTTTCGACTGCAATTGAAATATAATAAATTGTGGTGCCTCCACATGTGGCTTTTTGTATTCGAGTTTTTACTGTGATTCCATTTGACAAATAATTTCAATGTATTGCCGACACAACATGGCTATTCGTATTTGCTATTTGTAACCTTGACAACAGTCACTTTTTCATTCCAAATAGAGGGTGATGATTAGGACAGACTGCTGTCAAAATGCCCTTATCAATTGAAAAATTGCCATATTTGCTGTTTATTTAAATTAAAGTCGAAATCAAACATAATGGTGTCGATTCTGGCAGGATTCTCTTAATTTAAAACTAAATTTAATGTCAGTCTGTCCTTTTCATTCTGTATAGAGAATGACTAGGACACACTGTTGTCAAATTTAGGTTTAGAGAATCATGCCAGTATCGACATAAATGACGCACTTCTGTCGGTTTTTCAGAATGTGTTTTCAAAACCGACCCCAATAAAACAAATACGTAATCCCGAAAAAATATTGATCATGCCATGTGTTTGTTATTTCGGTGTTTGTCTCCATGTATATCGGCAGTTTGCCATAACATCATATTTTTTAGCGAATACTACGAATATGTAATATGTGTTTTTCACAATATGCTAATGGAATTGAACTATAACGTTACAAAACTTAATTTTTGTTAAAAAAGTATTGATATTATTAGGGCAACACACTTGGTCTTCAGCGCGTGTTTTGCCCTACACAATCAACAAAAACATATTAACATTCAACAAAATTGTCTACACAAAACTTTGTTTCACTACACATATTTGTTTACATCAACAAGTTTTTGCTTTCCGAGCCCGTTGGAAAACACGTAAAATAACCCCTCCCACCCCCCCCCCCCGCGCGCGCGTGTCGAGGGGTAGGGTATTGTTTCATCAGCCATTTTTTTGACAACTCGCTAGCGGGGGCCCCGTTCCAAACCTACGCTTCGAGTACCTACAACTTTTCACTCTGACATTTCAATTTGTTTTTGACATAAAATGTACGAAACTTTTGTCAAATTTTATATTGGTTGCACCTGGATCGTTAGTTTTTGAACGCAGCCCTGTGTATTTTGTGAAGGACAGCCACGTGAGCAGTAGACGACGTGTGTGTAGTAAGTAAAACATGTTTCAGAAACAAAGTTTTGTGTATGTATTTTTGTTGAATGTTTTCAGAAAACTTTTGCTGGAGTTGCTTGACACTATTTTTAATTGGGTTTACTATATAGATAAAGTAAAGGGCACCATTTTTCATCTTGTCTAATTAGCATTCCATTCGGCCATTTTTCCTTAGGCCCTAGAAGGTAGAAAATAAAATTGATATCCCAGTTAAGAAAACCGAAACAGGTATCAAAATATTGATTTTAAAAACAGATTTACTTAAAGATATTCTTTCGGTTTTCGTGGTGGTCCTACCATGATAATAATAATAAATAGTGTGATGGGATTTGCGAGGAGGTTGGGTTTTATTTAAAGTATCACACGATCATTTTGCCTAACGCGACTGTTCAATCATACAAGATAAACCATTGTAAAAAGTTATTTATCATATGGACTTAAAGGCGGAAGTTGCTTGCTTCGCATATATATAGTCAATAAGTTTTCTTCCAATATTAGGATCGAGGCCAAGCAATTATCGTCTTAAGGCAATAAATAACCAGTAAGTTCCTTTACTTTAGTTGGGAATATAATTTTACTTTAAAGAAAGATAATTAGGAATCTTGGTAGCATGGTGTTTGTTGGCTGTTACCATTAATAATATCTCAAATAATCTTACACTGGCAACTTTATTTTTGAATGAGTAAAGTTGCCATTTGGAAAAATAAAATGCCCTCCCTTACCTTATTTTAACTGCTAGCAGTCTTTTGTTTACAGAATGTTATCTAAATGATTGTGTGATACAATAAGGACGACGATACGAGTGTTGTTTTTGTGATCGCCGTAAATATGCCACTGTATTGTTAGGTTGTAAATAGGCTATTTGCCGGTATGACAAATAATGTACCAACATCTGTATTTAATATGAATATTGGCAGCGATTTTACTATTCTGAGAGAACAAATAAATAATTAATAACTTTTATATAAAAAACCATTAAATAGTAATGATTTTATTGTTCAATGGTCACGTGACGGAAAACGCCTGGGAGTGGCGCGAAGACTAAAATGACGTCAGACGCTAGTAAACTTCCAGTCAAATTGACATTACATTGTATCGTTTGACGTTTTAATGACAGTCGTGCGACGCCATAATGTCCAGAGCTACGTTTTCGCGGCAACTTGAAAATGGAGTTTTATATTTAGTTTCGTTACTAAAATACACAGCAGAATGATGAATATCCAGTTTTAACTGACCTCCTTAAACAAATAACGTGAGATTGTTTTGAAAATCTTGTGAAATACTCCATCCCCTCAAAAATTTTCAACCCTTAGCTTAGTAACTTTAAGGTTCTAAGTCCGAAAGCAGTTGCAGAATTTTGACGTTTTTTAGTAGCCTGATTTGCTGTAGTGTCCGTACAGCCAAGGCCACGTACGTACGTAGTTAGTAAAATTTTGTATTGACAACGCCTTTATTATGTAGCAATAAAATCGATATTCTTAGTTCTAATGTATCTACTTTTTGGGCCTCGTCTGTACAGATAAAAACATACACATTGGTGTTTGTTAACTTAAAACTAAATTCAAAACGGAGAAACTGCTCTCCTTTTCATTCTGTATAGAGAAAGACAAAGATACACTATTGTCAAATTTAAGTTTAGGTTCAGAGAATCATGTCAGATTCGACGCCATTATAATACTTAGGTATTAGTATTATAATTAAGCAGAACTTGCAGTAAAATTGCTATATCTTGATTCAAATAAAACTAGATTTTACCCATAGAAATATGTCAAAACGTCAATGTCAACTCGACATTGTACGGGCTAAATCTAGTTTTAGCAAAATTGCTGCAAGTGGACCTTAATTATAGAAAAAGAAGGCAAATCATAAATTTTCTCGGGTATACAAATTTTGGAGACACTGCTTTTTGGAGAGTTAATTGTTGGCGACCTGGGGGCCAATCGCCTAACTGGATTGCTTTGGAAAACGCTATCGCTTACGATTTCATTTTGTTATTTCTAGCCCCCTGAGGTTTTCAAATGCCTCGCGCTCTTTTTTTCATTTGCATTGGTAATAACAATGTTAAAGAAAATGAGCGTGAGGTATTTCTGCGGTTAGAAATAACAAAATGAAATCGTAAGCGATAGCGTTTTCCAAAGCAATCTGGTTAGGCGATTGGCCCACTGCTCTTTTATGTTATATTTTTCCAAGATGTAATAGCTTATTAGGAAGATAGTCTTTGGGAACAAAATGATAGCCATGAGGTTTCTATAACTATTTGGTTGGGAATTGCATAATAAAATGTTTTTTTTTATAAAAACAATACGAGTATTCCTATAAATTCTTACTAAATGAGTCTTCATAAAAAGCCGTTGGTCCTCTATTGTTGCAATATGAACTTTAAGTCTACAATGTAAGTTTTAAATTAAAATTTTATGTTAAGCATTATACAATTACTTTTAAGACTTCCGCAGTGGAATATTTACGGTTGTTATTATTATTATTAATGTTGTTATTAAACCATGTTTCTATGTGATTGCGTAACTTAATTTATACTTATTAAAATAATTATGACTAATTGCTATGTATAAATAAACAGTCAATCAAGGTTATTACTATCGTTTCATTTTCTTACCCAAATGGTAGAGGTTACAGTAAACATTTTACAGTTAATGCAAAATAATGACTTGTCTTGTTACATTGTGTGCCATGCCCCATGAAGAGTTTTTAAAGTGCCGATAGTATTCTACAGCTATACATACTTTAAGACGAGAAATTATACAAAAACTCAGTGTCGAAAACCAAGTTGAGGGCCGGATTTAAGGTAGCACAGGCTGTGGCTCAGGGGCCCACAATAGAGATAAATAACTAAATATTGATTTAAAATAGGGGCCCCCACTCCTTCGTTACGGGCTTTCACACCTCTAAATCTGGTCCTGACCAAGTTCAATAGAACTTCAAACTAAAATGGTAAGGTATCGTTCTCACGAGTGGTTTTTGTATGACTTAAAATTACGAAGTTAGCATAATAAGGCTCTCGAATTATTAGTATGTATAACTCTATATCCTACGCCCAAGGTTTAAAATGGAACGGCAAACAATAAAAAATGCCGCTAGTAAAAGAGCGCACACCTGTGAACACAGGAAAACAAGAATGCTGTTAAGAATTGCTCATGCAAACATTTCTAAAATGTTTATTTGGTAAAATAAAAATCTTGCTTAAATATAAACTCCGGAAGCTCACAGAAAAGGTTATAATTCCAGATACCTAACCAGATTGGCCTCATAAGGTGTGCAAATAAAAAAATGCTTTGAGCGCAAAGAATTTGTTCCGCAGTTTTCTAGACGTGTAACACGCTTTTAGTAAAGTCGTGGCACTAACTATTATTGTGCAAAATCGAAACGCTCCTACTATACTCTTTCTATGAAAAACTGGAATAATATTTGAAAAACAGAATCTTCAAATATGCTACCTCAGTCCTGACGACTGTGTCGAATTTTCTCTAGCCTTAAGCTGCAAGGCAGCGCCATCTCTTCGCATTGTAGGTAACCCACAATGTCAAATGAATTCGTCCCGTTCGAGTCCCGTCTGCTGCCTCGTCCGCGTGGATTTTTTTCTAGTAAACTTTTCTTTAGATTTAAACATCTAGCAGTTAAATACTTAAAAATTAAAAACATAAGAATCTTCCAAATTAAATAAAATGATTGCACATCAGCTTTTCGTGAGATACTGGTGGGAGTTCCTCAAGGCTCAGTACTCGGACCGATTCTATATACTATCATTACATTACTTTTGCTGATAATACCGCTATTTTTGGCCACTAGACCAAGTCGAATGCAAGCCTCTGAAATATTGCAAAAACCTCACAATCCTTAAACAATCATTTAAGTGGAAGATTATACAAGCAAGCACCTTTCAAAAGGATAACTGGCCATAATTAGTGAAATTGGGCTTCAACTTCCTACCCACTAGTGAAAAGGTAAAATATCTGATAATATATTTGTATCGCCGTTTCATATGATTCAAAATTATAAAACCCTTAAGGGATGGATTAAACCTAAAATATCGATAATTTTACGTACATACTGGCTGCTTGGAAGAAACCCCAAGTTGTTCTATTCTAAAAGAAAAAGCTTTTGTTATATAAACACTATTCTCAAACACAGAGGACCAATGGAATTCAATTAAATGGGGATCGTAAATTGATACAATCGTCAACAAAACCCAAAACAGCTCAGAATTCAAATATATCTTTCATTATGACCTTAATTTTGACCTTAGATTAAACAGACAGATAAATTTTAAAATTAATGAATGAAGCTGAACGCATTTTTATTGATTAGAAATGTCATTTTAGTTTCTGTCAGAGAAAGCACGCTTCGCAACCTAAAGTAAAATAATATTTTAACGATTTTAAGTCAAATTTTAAGACCTTTCTTTAAAAAATATAAAATCATTTAATGATAGAGCCGATCAAATGTATTTTTTTCTTTCATTTTCAAATAGATATGTAAAAATGAAAATTTTCGAAAATACAACATCTTACTTAACGAGCCTTTGGAATTTCTGAATATTAGTTTTTGAACATTCGCTCCGTAACATAATCTAGTAATCTGTGTCCGTAATCGAAGAAAACAGACAGAGTTCGTCCGGCAGTGTTTACCGATTTTATTTACCGTTCGATTAACTCTAGTTAAATTGATGTGTTGTGAATAATGCAAGCGTTCTGTGATTAGTTATTTTGTTCTACAGTTTGAGTGGTTTTCATAGTTGAATTTAGTCTTAGAACCCGAAGAAACTGAAAGAGATGTGCTGAAGAGTTTTATGATAGAGTTCAGGGATAATTTGGCGCTAGAATGTCTGATGAGCTAGAAGCCAGGATGTGGGACGACGGAGGCTCCCGATACGAGTCCCGGAGCCGAGGTGCTTTTTTCGAATCAGCATTTGCTTCCTCTGAACACTTGGATAGAGCACCTTTGTTGTCTGAAGTGAGTAACTTTTTTAGGTATTGCCTATATGCACTTTTGGAGGCGAAACTGCTTAGAAAAATATTAAGGCTAGTGTAAAGTCAAATCTATGGCTAGTTTAAATTTAAATCTATAGCCTATAGATTTAAATTTAAACTAGCCAAACCTAGCAATAACCGTGTATAAAAAGTTATAATATTTTTTTAAGAACATTTTTTAATTGACTATATACATCTGCTATTAACTTTTTATTTTATTTTCATATATTTGAATTATTTCCTTCCTTTGAATTATCTTTGAACCAAAGTTTAGGTTTTAGGTATTTCTAAATGGTAAAACTATTTTATCTTATCATAAATTCTGAACATTGAGAAAACAGTCTATTTCTCTGTTTCAAAGTTGTGCCAAGTGATCTTGATCCATAGATAAGATTGCTTTTATCACAATTAGAGTGATGAAGCTGACATATTTATTAGTTTGTAATCTATTCTGGCTGTTACTATATTAAAGGTTTTAATCTAAACATAAAACATTAATAACTACAGGATTATAACAGATAAGATACAAAGTAATGTATGGCAAAGATTTGTATTTTCAATATTTTTTGTATTCATAATAAATTTCTATCTTTTTTCTGTTGATTGCCACCCCAAAACTTTTTAATTAATATTATCATTATATGTTTTCATTTCTTTAATCATATTATTAATGGAAGTAATAAAAAAATTCAAAGGAGACACAAGAATTATCTAGGGCAAACCTTAGCAGTGGTTGAAACTAAATAACACCATATTAACTAATATTTGATTTCACCTAACCAACAGTCAAATTTATTATTAATTAATTTATATTATTGCCAAACAAGCACAAATAAATTATTGTATTGCGTTTCATTCATTAAAATGTAGAAATAAAAACAAAGATTTTTTTTTTTCACATTTTTTAAAAATTCCCATGTTTTTTAGCTATAAAATATTAACATTTACAGCACACTAAAAGTATTGTTTTGCTAATATTTAAACATATACTACTACTAAATACTGTCTTTCACCTGTAAACATAGATGGAGACTCCGTCCATTCAACCCATTAAGGAAGTTCTTCCTAACAGCTCAGGGTCATTTCTAAGTTATGGAAAATTCTTTTAAAAAAATCTCATAACTCCACTGTACCCTCAAGGGAACAGCCAAGGGTGCACTGGAAAATAAGCTACTTCATCTTTTGTATCATTGTTTTCACATTTTTAATAATAAAATTCATCATACGAATTTTTATAAAAGTTATAAATATCTAAATTCGAGATGTAGTCATTTCCTAAGTCTAAATAACTATTTGGAAAATATTTTATAGCTATTTCAACACTATTATCATGTGAAGTCAAACGAGTTTTGATAAGAATACTGTACTCATTAATCTGTAGTTTGCATAGCATATCCTGTTTTATAATATTCTTTGCATTGTCTTATTTTAGAAGGGGCAGTGATTAGGGAGTTTGTTCTGCAGTTGTGGAGGTTCTCATTAAAATTATAACAATATTGAGCTCCTGATGATGGCCTTTGTAGAGCTCACCTACCAGTCTACATTATTCTGGCATAGTTGGCTATGGCTATGTGTATCTATCCAAAGGGAAAGGCCAGGGGGCCAATCGCCTAATTTTATTTTGTTATTTCTGACCACTGTGTGTTACCAAATATGAATAGCCATGAGAAGTGCTCCAAAACAAACAAAATGAATATATGAATACTTAAAATAATACAAATGAATTATATATCAATAATCAACATATGATAGAGGTAAACTTAAGAGACCTCAGCCAGTAAATATGAAATATATTTTTACATATGACTAACTCCTAGTTCATGCCTAGACCCCCAGTATGGTGTTTGCATAGTTCATCCTTCAAGTAGCTGAACTCATGAATGTTAGATTTTCACAGTTGAGTGAATCCATAACGGCATAGAATATTTATTAGTATAATAATTTTTTCATTAATATTCATGGGCTTGCTTCACAGTTTGCCTTACTGTCATGTTACAACATGTCTCGTAATCTCGTTACATTTGTGAATCTTTCACAGAGGGAATCAAGATAGTAAGTTTTTGGTCATCTATCCAATGATCATTGGGAATGTTAAATTTCTCGTCTAAAATCGCCAACTAAGGCACTACTCGCTGCGCTATAAGCCTACTTCAATTAATCAGATTCTTGTTAAGGCCGAGATGTGCCGCAGACCGCAGGTGACTCTGCGGCTATCAGCTGCGGTCGACCTCATTGTTGCCTGGTGGTCGTGGTAGTTTTACCAAGCACTACGGCATGCCGCGACTGCACAGTGCAAAGAACCAAATTATTGCGGTAATTCGATGTGTTGTAAAGAATTGGATGCTCAGCAACAAAGATAATTAATTTTCCATCATCTTCCGAAAACGTCGACATTTTTGTTTCTTACGTGTGAACTCCGCGGTTCGCGACACCATTGGCGCTGCAGCTTGTGCTGGGGTCGCTACGCACCGCGTCTGCAGAGTTGCCGGGTGAGGAATCAATTTCATAGAGATTCATAGAAACATGTGTTATCGCTTGCAGTTTGCGGTCTGGAAACCATCTCTGGATTGCATTGTTAAAGTGAACGATGAATCCCGCTATCCTACACTTTATCCCATAAGGATGATGATGATGATTAGAATAGTGCTAAATTAGTACTATATACTCTAGCGACGCTTCCACTAAAACCATCATACGTATATTGTGATTTCACTTTCATAAATTTTGTTTTTGGTCCCCTTTGCTGCCTGGCTCCTAGAGCGACCGCCCCGCTGCACACTGGACCAAGATTCGGAAATCGTGGACTTAGGGATCAAAGTTGAGCTATCGCAATGATTTTTTTTTTACGGACAGCTTAAAACAATAGCAGAAACTTTTGTTCTAGCACTTATGCTAAAAAGAACTTTTTCATACTAAAAAAAAATATTGTTTTTTTTCTTGTATGGAAAAAAAGTAACTATAGTGTTTTTTTTTTAAATAGTAAAGAGTATCAAAAAAGCTGCTAGTAGGTGTTATAGTGCTTACAATTATTGACAATTTTTGCCTTGACGTCATATCCATAAGTCTGCAGCTTTGGCGTCCACAGGCCTTGGAAGTTTCCATACAAAATGTATGGGATTTTTTAAGTAGTTGAGGGTAAATTTAGCATCTATGTGATTCGAAACAGAAAATAAACTACCAATAATAATGTTTGATACTTAATACAAAGACGTAAACTTAAAATAAAAAACTCACTATTCGATTTTTTTTGTATAGAGAATTATTTGATATACTTGTCTTCCATTGACACAAACGTTAGAAAAAATGACTAATAGGTTAAAATGTGATTATAGCGTGTGCGTGATATTGTCTGACGTCACAAACCTAAATCTACCGCTTTGGTTTCTTCAGCTCAAGGATGTTAAGTGAGCGACGAACGGGAGCGAAATGACTGACGCAGACAGACCCACCTATATTTATAACACGTATGCGGGTCTCATACTATGCTGTCAGTACACCGATTGTGTGTCAGTTAATAGCGTGCGCGCATTAACCTCTACCTTGCTCTCTGTCTTCTCTATCCCCTGAGTGTGAGTCTCTATTCTCTGGTATTTCTAAACTCCTTGTGTCTAGCTTCCGATGCTTCTTCTGACATTATTCCTATGGGAAGACAAGAGAAATGTTGGCAAATGTCTGCCCCATGTATGAGCAGCTTGTTGTTGTATGCTTACTGGCATATTGTACCACGGATAATGGTGTACAAAAAGCTCAGCTGTCTCTTTGCAATATTCCCGGAATCTCTCAATTTTGATGGCGTTTCCGGAGGATATCACTTGCAAGATAACAGCAAAGCGCTTGATCAGATTTTCATCTATTTTTGTTATCCGTGCGCTGCTTTCGTATTCCTTGAAGAATCGCCTGGCAGTGTTGCCATCGTTGGTGGTTCCGAAACCCTGTTTCACGATGTCTACCAACAGTCCTGTTTCTTCCCTGAATTGTTGTTGTGTACAGTGCTTCCTGGCTTTGTTGAGCTCTTTATTATCGCCTCTTGCACACCACATTTTAAAATCCAAATTGTACGATACGTGCAATAGACACTCCATACTTCGGATCCACATATGGAGAGAGGACAGTCCATACTGGTACACCTCAGTTCGCACTGGTCTTGAAATAACTTCACAGAGGTTATTCATCTCACTTGGCTTCGCAAGACATATATTACAGGTAGCTGCAGATGGAGTATCTGTTATGATTGTGGATATCTTTCCATCAATCATCGTCATGTGCAAGTCATGGGAAATCTGGTAATCCTTGTATCTTGTCACATTAAGCTTTCGGATTTCTTCTTCCATACCTGATTGCTCTTGTTTGACAAAGTCTTTGGTTTCCTTTGCAAACAGAAACTTCACCGGTCTACAGTAAAATGTGGAAGAAGGATTGGGATTCTCCCACACTATTATATTGCCAGACTCTAGCTTCAACGGGACCAGGCTAGTCATAAATACCGATGAATCATCGAAATCAGGCAATCCACTTCGGTGTTTGTAATTACTTTGTGATGAGGATCCGTCGAAACCCCATTTGCTGGTCATCTTCATTTCACTTGTTGGTAGAACAACACGACCAACAACTTGCATTATCCTTCGTGCAGTCAAATCCAGCAACGCTTGTAGCTTTACTCTTGCACCAATTTCTGTAACCTCGATATCAGATTTATCTGGATAGCAATTCATTTTGGCATTGAGTATTTTGTGGTATGAAGGAAGCTGCGCAGTTCCCTCGATATCAGTCAAACAAGTCCTCAGCGTCAGGTACTTCCATTTTGACAAATCCAGTGAAGTAGCAAGGGCTAGAGCATGATCTTCGTGCATAATATCTCTCTCCTTTTTGTCAAATAAATACGATTTGACTTCATTAACTCGGTCAGGGTTTTTCAAGAGATGCTCAATCACTTGGGCAACATCATTTTTTCCGTTTGTCTTAAGTAGTGTGACCAAAGCAAAC